TGCAAAAAATTTAAAACACAAGCTGTCCAATTGTAAGAGATTGTAAGCAGCATTCAACTCTTGGGGATCCCACTTTTGTGGAGAATTACTTCAAGGTATTGAATAGATAAATGACTGTATATTCTCACATTTTCGTGCCATGCTCTGTAATCCTCTGGCCATTACTTTAAGTCGTTAGTCTTTTTTTTTCCATTTACTAATAATGTTCAATTTTTTATAATAGTAACTGATTCACTGGTATTGAATAGATCTTTAGTTTTTGCTGTTGGTACTTTGCATCGTTTCTGCAATTTTTGGTCACATCAAATTAAGGCATTTTATATGATGCTTGTTATTTGTTCAATGAAATGCTTCAATGAAAACATAGCAGATGAGTTTCCGTCCATTTAGATTTATTTTTTCTATCGTTGTTGCTTCTGAGTTTTAAAAACCATGGTCTTTAAAAATATTTTATTTTAAAACCATGGATAAATTGATGAACCTTGTGGAGTTAGCTGTAGCTTTTATAGTTAAATGTTCAAGCCTAAGCATGAATGAATTTGATAGATCACTTTCTTTCAGTTTTTGTAGTCGGTATTATTTGCGCCGAGAAATGGATTAAATTTTGCAGTTTAACTTTTCTTTTTTTGGTGTGTTTGAGGTGGGGGTGTAGATACCCATTCAGAAGGAGACATGCCAAATTTTACACTCTTTCATATAGTTTTTTGACCCTTAACTGCCACCATCACGAACCAATTAGTTGATATTTTGTCAGCTCATCTTGACACATTCTTTGGCCGATTCCCTTCATGCTATGGAAGGAGCTTTATTTTTTTGACTATTCCTTTAAGCACACTGGAATTAGACAAAGAAATTACATGCGGTAGATGTAATTATGAAAACATGCTATTTTAGATCTGTTTAGTTATTTCTTTTTATTGAATCCTTTTTTATGCAACTATAATAGTCACTTAATATTTGATTTCATTGTTTCTTTTGGTAGCTGGGCCAAAATATTCTACCTATTAAGGATGACTCTATCATTGCCCACCTGCAGTTTGTCTGCATATGTTGCCATAGACCTATATTATCCGGATGGCGATGGTTTTGCGGTCTTTGTAAAAGCTTTCAGCTATGTGAAAGGTATAATCATTCTTTATCCTCTTATTTATTAGAATATGCTCTTTGGCAGTTTTTGTGCAATTTTTTCTTGTTGACTTCCGGCTGGCACTATATTTCCTTCTTGGAACTCCATGGAGGCATCATCAAGTTATGAGTAAACTCGACTGGCTGGACCCTTAACTTTTAGATGGTTATGACCTGTCAGAAGTAAATATGAGAATATAAAGCGCGCAATAAGATGATAACAATGTTAAGTTTCTTTGTTGATTCAGTTTGTGTATAAATATTCAGATTGGAACTATGTAGAGTTCAAAACTTTTTAAGAATGGTTGAAAAGCAACTTATCACCTTTGTGAAATGAGTTTTTGTTACCAAGTTTAGTAACAATAATGCATTCGTAGCTTACAAATGGGAAATGTTTTATTATACCTACCAATAAAAAGAAGAAAGAATTGCCCTTTTCCTGCTCGATAACTTTTAGCATCATACATGAAAATTGTCTCGTAATTTCACCATGGAAGATTGCCTAGTGGTACTTTCCCATTGCTTTTCATGGTCTATAAAAATAGATGGAGAACAAATTTGATATACTGAATAACAAATTACTTTTAAAATATTGATTCCTTTTTGTTGATAACTTTGTCAACATTGAGGTTTCAATTGTCAAAGCAAGATTTCTTTTTTTTTTTTGGAATGACAAAGTAAATAATGGTGTAAGAGGCAGAGAGATACAAGGTAGAGGATGAGGATGTGAAAAAGCTGGAGGCCAAGAATGCCCTCGAGAACTACGCATACAATACGAGGAAAACCGTGAAAGATGATTAGTTTGTTGGAAAACTTGACCCGGCAGACAAGCAGAAGATCAAGAAGGCCATTAATGAGACTGTTAAATGGCTTGATAGGAACCAATTAACAGAAGTTGATGAATTTGAGGACAAGTTGAAGGAATTGGAGGGGTTATGCATTTTTCCATGTACAGAGGCGGATTTACATGGTATTGCGGTGTGTCCATTTAAAAAAAAATTTAAGGAAAACTTTGTGTTGATACCCTTAAATTTTTTTCTGGAAACTCTTAAAATTTAGAAAATAAAAAAAATTTAAAGAAAAAATTTTCATGAACATCCAAAACTTTCTTCTTAACACCTTTTTCATGGATAAAATTGATAAATCTGTCAATAGTATTTTATATATTATAAGTAAATACTTCCCAACAAAAATCTTGAATCCGCCTCTATCCATATATTTATAATTTCCTTAATCAATTTTCTTATTTAAATTCTTATCAATTTTTTGCCTCAAATGATATGTGGTTGATATTTAATTGTGCTTATCATCGTTTGAGCTTTTTGTTTTATGATGCTGTCAATTGATTGGATCTCTACTTTCTCTACTTTTTGAGCTTTACTTTGCAGTGTAGGACTAGTTTACCCTATGTTGCATTGCATTTACTTGTTTGATATTGTAAAATAAAGCCATGTTTAGCCATTCATTTAAGACAAATGTCACGGCTTTTTTTTTTTTTATATTTGAACTCGAACTTAAGCTTACAGGTCTCATAAATCCTTTTCTTATATCCTGGCCTAGGGATTGTTGGCAAAATTCATGTACTCTTAAGAAACATGGTTTTTTATGTTTAGATTGGTTTGCTGGTTCCTTATTAGTTCCCTATAGCAGCTTGTATGGATGAGTAGTACATATTTTTGTCTACTTGCATGTCATAGATGGTCTTCCATGCTTGTTTTTGTTGTGGTGATTTAATAATTAATTCAGTGGTATACTATTTATACATTATGTTATATGAACTTGTGTGATAGGACATCGAACATGAATAAATTTTGTTTTTGATAATCTTTTATATTAAATTTAAAAATCAAAGTATCCTACAAATATGAACATTAAAGTGTTCAAAATGTGTCAAGACCCATATCAGTATCTAAAAATATAATGAATTAAATTGAATTTGAAGTTAATTATACCACAAATTTACCTACAATATACTTTGTGGAGATTTTTTGTTTTAAGTTGTGGCAAATTTTGTAGAAGCAGCCCCAACAATAATACCAAAAGATATCATGCAATAATGATGATGAATTCATGACATTTACAAAGGAAAAGTAAAAATATAACCCAAATCAAACACATGTTGGTTTAATGATAAAAGAAACTCAGAAACCACAAATTGTATAGGTACAAATGAAAACCCATGTTTAAGGTTATTGATGAAGTTAAAAGAAAATTTTTAGACAGAAATTAAAAGAAAGTTATTTACCTTACTTAGGTTTAATTCGATGATAAAGGAATATTTGCTTATATATAGGTTCGATATTTTGTTCGAATAATTAATTTGGATCTATATTGGAAAACAAAAAAACAAAAGTGATATTGACTAAAATTTTAACAAAAATTATATATGCTTTAACAAAAATAAAAAAATATATTTTATATTTTTAATGTTGGCATGAATTATGATATATAATTTTTACGTAAATATGATACAAATATACAAAATATCAATTTTTTACATGATATGAATACATAAATTATCAAATATATACGAATTGAGAGCACATAACTCAAGGAATGGTACATGGGATTCAAATTCTTTCATTTTCAATAATAATTATTATAATAAATTAGTGAATCAACATAAAACTAAACAAATCGAATATACAATTAGATCAAATCTAAGAATAATAGAACTTGAACTTTGAGATTTGAATATTTCAAGAACCTCCTCTTGCAACCAAGATAAGATCATTAGCAATATTATAAGAGTTTTAAACTATCATAAAGCGATTCAACAATGCAAGTGAAATTGGCTTGTATGTTATTTTTTTCATCAATTTGGTTATTGATACAATAGATAGAGCAGCATAGCCTTATAAGGTAACTAATTTATGTAATTTTGACAACCAAAAAACTTAAGGTTCTTTACGAATGAAGAATTAACTCAAATCATAAATTTATTTATTGAATAAGATCACAATTTAAGAATAGAAGTTATAAGTGCTAATAGCTTAATATTCGAATTTTAGACTTGTTGAATGTTATTTTTTAAAAACGATTACATAAACCAATTAAACTAAACTTCGTATTCAAATCTACAATCAATTAATCAATAAACGTTCTACTGAAGATTTGTACTTCATGAAGAGGCTGTCGAGGCGGTGACAGCTAGGTAAGACTCTCAATGATGAATTGGTAGAAGAATGGAGGCTAATCTATAGCAAGGTTTAACCCAGTGCAAGAGTTAACCTGAGTTCTGAAACAAACACGGTTCGGGAAAAACCCCCCATCATGATTTTGACATCATAATCATTTGCAAACGTTCTCCATAGCCACTGATGATTTTGTATTCTATTCAAGACATTTAGTTTCCACTTAATTGACCACATCACAAGTCCCGTGCTCAATGCTTAGATGATCTTAATATAAGGAAGCCGCATATATTTAATAAGGGCCGTTTACTAAGTGTCCAACCATAAAATGCGCTATGGGGAGCCCTCCAGTCGGACTCCTAAATGGACTCTAAATGATGACAAAGCATAAAGTAAAATGAAGATAGATTTTCTATAAATCTGTGAAGTGACAAAAATAAAATCTTTAATTCCAAGTAATGGTATCAGTTTTGATCCTCAGGTTAAAGGATAGAAGATCCCGTGCAGCATTTTGTGCTTTAAGGTCATAACCGTCCAGGGATCATTTAGCTCCTTCGCCTAGTTTAGGATCTAAAACATTTTACAGAATCTATCTGATTCAACTAAAACACTCTACAAAATGTGAGCTAGTCCAGAACCTGCTAGTAAAATGCCTGCTGAATTAGACCCTCGAAACCTGTGAATGCTTATTGGAATCATGCATTTCTTTATCTCCATGCTAAGTTTCTCCAAATCTAACGGCTAGCTCTTCAGTGCGAGATGCTTGAGTTTCCCTCTTGTTTTCCGAACAGCCTTGAAGAGGAGTGCAGTGTATCAGTCTATGTCAAACCTCAGGGCATAATAGATTAGTCAAATGGAAATAAAATTCTAGTTCAAAATTATTATACCTTCAGCAGCTCAGTCATCTTTTCAGTTCGAAAATTTTCCAAATGTTTGAGCACAGAAGAAGAATGAGCAGGCTGTACAGCTTGCATTGGTTCAATAGAGAGTGGCTGATCATCTTCCAGGTTGTGTCCAGAATCTTTGACCAACAAATTACCACCTTGAGCCTCCGATGGTTGTGGGGGTACTTGAGTTCTTTTCATGACTACAGTTAATAGTTTTTCAAAAGGCATGCCAGTCATTGACATGGCTTCTGTCTCCAGAAAAAACTCTGTTGCGGGTTGATTATATGAAACAGTTTCACTTTGTATGCCTTTTGGCATGCTGTGGTTACTACTTAGAGATTGAGTAGGAAATATTTGATTTCTAACTGTTGGCATCTGGTTGGTGGGTTTTCCCTCATTTGATGTATCAGCAGCTTCAGACACTTGTTTGCCTTTAGAGGCCACCAAATGAGCTGGTCGGCTTGCAACCAGAGATGGTTGGTTGGAAACTGATTCGCGGTTTGATAAATTAGCAGTTTGGAGCACAACGGGCACCACAATGCCTCTGGTCATTAGTGGAGAAGCAGATTGTGTTGACACCGACTGCACATGTTTGCTTTTTGAGCCTTCAAGGTTTGAAAACCAGGCTGGAGGCACCTGGTTGACAACAACCGGTTCATTGAATGAATGAGCAGATCCATTTCTATGAGAATTGACATGCTGCTCATTCCTCTCCCTTGGGAAGGAAATCTCATTTCTTCTGATCATTTGAACATTTGGTGCCACATCATTCTCAGCTGAAACAAGAACAAAATGGCCAGGCTTGAAAACCACACCCCTTAAAGTGGTGTCAGAGTTACCAACGCTAACAGTGAGCAAATATCCTGCAACAAATGCTGCCTCAATAATACTATAAACAGAATGACCCACCATTATATCATTTGCATCATTGATTGAATTTGCTTGACGGGGTTGATTTCCGTTCACCCCTTCAAATCCAGGTCGGATACGGGTATTCCCTGCACAGTTCAGATTTGGATTCTCCCCCTATTTTAGATTATATTTCGGATGTTTCCTCGGGCGACCACGTCTGCGTTTCAGCGGAACATCTGCTGATGCATCAGATTTATTCTCTTGGTCATTGTCTTGATCCATCACAAATTTGCAGCAAAGAAATTGCTTTTTCCACAGATCTTAATACTGTTTCTTTCCTGGAAGACAAAAGGGCAGGTACATTATAGCCTATACAACCAAGCTGGTACAAAGCACAACCGTGTTTAACAAACATGTCAAAAGGCAAATATTCAACTTCATAAATCATCAAGCAAGAATGTTGCCTTCTCAACACCACTGCAGGTCATTAAGGCCATGTTGAACACCCATCCTCTTTAGGAATATCCCAGCCAACAATCATGTATCTTATTTAGTGAAGCTATCGAGCTATTGCAGGAGAAAATGGGGCAGTCACAATCATGTTTCTTATCAAACATAGGTAATGTGGACATCAATAATACTCATTCAACATGTATAAATCCAGCAAAGCAACATGACCCAAAATCATGGCCAACAGGTTGAATTAGCTAATTACAATAGGAATAAAAACCAAGAAATCATGGCTGAACATATTTCAATACAAATCTATCTGTTTGTGTTCCTATGAAAAAAAAATAGCCTCTAATTTTTTTCCCAACAATGAAAGAATCACTTCGAATTTCCATAAAAAATCTGAAAATTGTTCCAACAATTCAAACTTTCAGCGACTAAAACGGCATATTTTGATAAAAATAACACGGTATAGATCTCCCCCCAGCCTTGGATTCATTGAAGACTAAAGATAACCCCCCCATTAACATGTTTCTTTTCTGGGATTTATGAACACTGATTTCATATAAAATTAATAATAATAAAGCTTCATGCAATATTTTCTATACAACTGAAACAGAGAAACTCACCTCATGCATGCAATGCAATCTATGAGACAAGCTACACATTAATTTACTAACAAAACTAAATCATAATTACAAAATAATAATAATAAAAAAGAACCTTTATTCAATAATAATAACAAATTGTAAACATGCAATACATGCACAATGACAGTAACATAGAGGAAATCCAAGAGAAATAAAAAACCATTGAAACAAAAATTTCTAATGATAATAAATAAAATTCCATAAATTACTGGTAAGAAAAGTGAAAAGAGTAGACATTTTCACAGCATTTTCAACAACTTCAATCAAAAGGAGAGTCCTGCAACAAGCATACATAAAACATATATTAATAAAAAAAATGAAAACTCATAGATGTTCAGATTTTCAGTCTTTTATCAAAATATTTTAGAGTCTAAATAAACTTCCAAATATGCTAAAGATAATATGCACAAGAATTGCATGAAATGTTTTCGTACTTTAATTGAAGTACTCATTGACAAATTGAACCAATTCAATATTAAAAAAGTAAATATAAAATTTTTAGTTTTAAAAAATTTAAGTACTAAATTTATTATGATATAAAAATTTTGTTGTATGCTACTGAAATTTTAGGGTTTATATATATATATATGTTAGGATAAATAAAGGAAGGAGAAAAAAAAGATTTTGATTCATGAACTCTTTCTTTGTTTAGTCATTAAATCTTGCATCTCATGGGGCATAATTTGGTATAGAATCTAATCCCTTGAATAAGAACAGAATTATGAATAAAAAAGCATAAAAAATAAAATAATTATAAAAAATAAGTCAAAAGAAATTAAAGTTTATTAAACTTAATAATTTAAAATATAATATAATAATATAATATAAAATGATACGAGTAATAGATATAAAAAATAAGACAGTTCAAAATCTTAACAAAAACCACAAATGAATTTAATAAAATTAAAAAATATATATTTTATATTTTCATATCTGACATGAATTATAATATATAATTTTTATGTAAAATATTATATAAATATATTGATATTAATATTTTATATAATACAAATACATAAATTATCAAATCTAATTTACATCTTTTAAGACCCATGCATTCCTCTTTCTATTACACTGTTATTTATTGGTTGAATAATTTAGGAAAAAAAAGAAAAGAAAAGTGAAGCGAAACTCCATAAGAGAAGGATGATTGGGCCCTTGTATGTTTTTCACTAATTCTTTCATCTTTCTAATTTAACGAACATTAGAAGATTTACTTCAAAGAACTGTTCACAAATTTTGCACCTCAAATTCAAAGATTTCAGGTGTATGCTCAAAAATTAGATAAAAGAGAATTTATGAAAGAATTTTTTATTTAAATAATTGGAATTGATACTTTAAATTAGTTTTCATAGATAATATGAGAATATTTATATAGCACATATCTCAATCTCATTAGAAGTAATTAGAAATAATTAAATTTCAATTTGTGTTGATGAAATTGTTTTCCTCGTCTTGTTCTAATTAAGTTTGAAGCATGCAGATATGGCTATAATTAATATTTAATTAGTTAATCATGGAGTTAGCTTAGTAGCAAACTACCATAAGTAGAACTGTCTCTGTCTTTGCAAAGAACAGAGTTCCATTTAGAATGGATGAAATAATTTTTTGAAATTAATTTCGTATAAATTAAGAAAAGAAAGAATTAACCTAGTTCACCATTCATTGGTTTTACGATTTCAATGGTTTCATGAAAATCCCTTCCCCAACCGTGAGTTCATGTATTTTAGGAAGGAAAAATAGTAAATGGTTTGAGATTTGGAGTTGGGGAATTCTTCTTTGTGTGAAAACTTCGTGTACAACTATCAATTATCAAGCAATTCTTATCTTAGAAAATTTTACTCTAAGATTTTAATTTTGGTAAATTACTACAAATAGTGGAGTTTCATTGCATATCAGTTAAGATAATCTAATTTAAAAAATGTAATCTGTAGTAATTTTTTTTCAATTAAAGATTACGTTTATACTTTTAGAAACATAATTTTGCAAATTATTTTTTTAAACATCAATTAAAGATTGTGTTTTTAATTGTATTTTGTTTCAATTAGATATTATGTTTTTTATTTTATCATATATATATTCTTTTTTTGAAAAAAAATATTTTTATCATAATAAACTAGCTTATTTTTAACAATATAAAAATAAAAGCCTTTTTATATTTTAATTGTTTAATAACTGTCAGATGTTTAATTTTAATAATATAATAGTAATTAAAATAATTATCACGTGATTATTCACATGTAAAGAAAATCATTATAATAAAAATCTTTTATTAAGTAATTTAATTTTTTTTGAACCAAATATAAAAATTAATATTTGAATAACATAAAAAATCATTTATTATTGAAAATTTACACTTATTCAAAAATCATTTTATCTGTTAAAATTTAAAATTTCGTAAATCAAATTCTCTTTTATAAAAATATAAACAGACTTTAGCTAGCTCTCTTCCACTAAAATTTGAATAACAAAAAAGGGTAATAATTATAACAAAAGAGAATCCAAGAAAATTGCGTGACATTCGGCTCTCAAGTTATTTAAAAAGGCATTTAAAAATTGGATTCGAATGAAACAAGAAGTTAGTGTCAAAATTAATGCTACACAGTTTAATATTTGAAATTGAGGGTGGCATTTCGTTAAAGCTAAAGATCAAACAACGTGGAAATGTGGATTTCAAGATAAGGGAATATGTTAGGGTGAGGGGGTGGTCCCCGATGCAGACCAAATACAAGCTCTTGCTCCCCTCGTAAGTCGTAATTGGTTGTTGTCTCTCATTCGTTTATTTTTAGGGACGTGAAAGACTAGGATACAGGTAAAGATAAAAATATTTGTTATTTTTATTTATATATTTATATATTATATTTATTTTCATATTTATATTTAATAAAATTTTAAATTTATTTTATTTTTATAAATATTTAATAAATATGAGTAATTTTTATTTTTATAATCTTTAAAAAAATAAAAAAATATTTTTTTATTTTTAATTTGTATTTATAGATAATTTTTAATAAATATCTATTAATATATTTTTTAATAAAAATATATTTATTTTAATTAATTTAAAATAATATTTTATATTATTTAATAAAAAATTTATTTATTAATTATATATAAATAAGTATAAAATATAAAAATGAAGCAAGTGTTATATTATTTTTTCCATACTTGTTTTCATATTCGTATTTTATAAAAATTTAAAGTTATATTTATTTTTATTTATATAATATAATATTTATTTTTTATTTTCGTTCAGATAAAAAATTAAAATTTTTTATTAAATATGAATAAAATTGAGATCTTATGCCTCTTAAAAGCATCGCGTCATAAAACCACTGTTTGCGCCGTGAATGATAAGGAAAAAACCTTTTTTTTTTTAGAAACACTAAAAAAGATTACACCAACAAAGAAACAAACAAAACTTTAACAAACCTGTTAGGGACCGTTAAAGCGCACGTGACCTGCATGTGCGGTCAATTTGTTGCTAATCCATGTGCCATTGCACTTTTATTTACTGGTTAAATAATTTAGGAAAAGAAGTCGATGCTTGGCCCCTTCTCTTGCTGTCTTTCACAAGGATTTGAATAAGAAAAATGGTAATGACAATGCAGAAAAACTAATACGTTTCTAATGTTTTTTATTTTGATGTTGATTTCAATTTTTAAAATTAATTCATTCATATTTTTTCACAAAATTTTGAAATTATATTTTAAAAAATATTTGATAAATTAATAGTAAAATCTTTTAATTTTACAAATTAAATTAAAATGATAATATATATTTTTTAAATTAAATTTTTTAAATATACAAAAGATGTGTTATTTTGTTTATAAAATTAAAAAATTTTACTATTAATGTATTTAATAAAATTTTGTATATTTTTTATACAACTCTTCAAATAATTTTTTAGATTTTTTTAATTTATGAAACAATTAATAAAATTATCCATAAATATCAAATTATGAAATTTGTCTCTTTATTTTAATTAAAATGAAGATTTAATTTGTTCGGCATTAAATCTTGTTTCGCATGTTGCATAATTTATCACTTATATTAATAGAATATTATGAAAATATTTTTATTTTATTATTTTTATTTAAAAATTAATAAATTAAAAATCCAATGACAGTTTAATATTAAACCGTAATATAGTGATAAATTAAAGAAGGTACAGCTTCGAAGAAGAGAAAGAGACGTTCAGGCCCTAGTCTAATCGCCTTCCACTAAGGATTAGAATAAGAAAAATAGTAATTACAATAATAATAAACAAAGACTCCAAAGAAATTGAAGAAGTCTTTGGTGAAACTTACTTTTCTCGGAAGCGAAGTTCTTTGATGGTTGAATTTTTTATTCAATTGAAGCAAAGTTGTTGGATCTTGAAACTTCACATTTCTTTGTTATTTCTATCTTTTCTTCTTTTGTATTGCTGCCTTACCTTTCGCTTACAGCTCTCTCCTCAAACAGTTTCCATCGAGGCAATCAAGCATCGTCTTATATCATTATCTCCACATCTTCCAGCTAGCTAGAGTACCAAATCCTTTGCTTGATTTCTGCTTTATTGCTCTTCTTTTTATAACTCAACAAAAAAATTTTGGTGCTTTTTTAATTTCCTTGATTTTTTACTTTGCTTTTATAACTAAAAAAAGCGTTTTTTTTTTTTTGGCTTTTATTGATTTCTAATTTTCTGTTCTTTTAACAGGGAAATAGAAAAAAAAAAAAACTGGTCCTTGATTTTCCTTTACTGATCCATACGGCTTTTGAAGATCCATCTCAAGTGAGGTATGCTTCAATAAACCATTATATATAAATTTTATTCTCCGTAATTTTTGCTATGTTCAACTTCATTTCTCGTTTGCCTCGATTAGTCTTCGATTTTTCACTTTCTTACTTGTTTACGAATTTACTTAAAAATAAAAAATAATAAAAATATATTTAAAAAATTTAAAATAATTAGTATCTCTTAAAATAGCTAAAAAGTACTATTAAACAAAAAATATGATTCTATATAAATTAATAAAATATTAAAATAAAAATAATTTCAAGGAAAATATAAAAGAATTATTTTTTTAAAATGAAAGAATAAAAAAATATTGATGTAAAGATGTGAGATCTAGAAAAAATAAAATTTGTTTGAATTGACATAAAATTTATTAAAAATATTGTAACATTTTAAAAAATAAGTTATGAAAATTTTTAAAGTAATAAAAGGTAAGAATAAGGTTTTACTTGATATAGAAAATGAAAAGGGGTAAGGATACAACTTTTTAATTTAAAGTATAAAATAAAAAATATATTATAAATTTTAATTATTGGATTAATTAGTTTTTCACTCATGATTTTTTTTTATCTTTAATTTTAACCAAGCAAAATTTAAGTGTTGAAAGATATTATTTTAACATAAATAATTACATTAGTAATGTAAAATTTAAATTAATTATTTTTTTAATTAATAGATATATAACATCAATGGCTAAACAAATACTTTCAAGGCTAAAATGATAACATAAAAAGTTAATATTTTAAAATTTATTGTAAAAAATTATTAATGTAAATAATTGAGAAGAATAATAAAATTTATAGCAGTTAGTTTAAAATAGGTTAAAAGTGACGTAATAACTTAAGATAAAATTATAAAAATTTTAAATATGATAGAAAGATAAAAATAAATCGTAAAAAGATATTTTTTAACATAAATGATTAAGTTGTTATGTAAAATTTAAATTAATTATATTCATGTAAATATTTTTTTGGGCAATGACTAAAAAATACTTAAAAGTTAAAAAATTAATTTTTGAAAATAAAATATCAAAAAAATTATTAATGTAAACATGTGTGAAAAATTATAAAATTAGTATAATTTGTTGTAAAATAGGTCATAAGTATTATAAAAAAAAGTTATAAATCTTTTAACATAAATAATTAAGAAAAAAAGTATAAAAATATATTATTTTAACATAAATAATTAAGAAAAAAATAAGTGTAAAAATTATTATTTTAACATAAATAATTAAGTTTGAAATGTAAAATTTAAATTAATAATTATTTTTTTTGTAAATTTTTTAAGCCAATGGCTAAAAATACTTTAAAGGCTAAAAAGTTAATGTTAAAAAATTAATATTAAAAAATTTTAAATTTTAAAAATTTAAAAATAACTTAAATAGAAGTGTCGTAACATTAAAATAAACATTTATAAAAATTTAAAATGTAATAAAAAGTAAGAATAAACATAAATATTTGAGAATAATGATAAAATTGATATCAATTAAGTTTAAAGGAGTTAGAAATATTTTTTTTTCAAAAAATTACTAGTGTAAATAAACGAGAAGAATAATAAAATTCATATCAATTAGTATAAAATGATTTAGAAGTATCATAACATCATAAAAAAGAGTTATGAAAATTTTAAACATAATAAAAGATAAAGAATAAACATAAACATGTAAGAGTAATAAAATTCATATTGATGTAAAATATGTTTAAAATATCGTAATGGATTAAGAAATGGCTATAAAAATTATAATCATAATATAATATAAGAGTAGATGTTAGACAATATTATTTTAATATATATAATTAAATTGGTAATGTAAAATTTAAATTAATTATTTTTTTATAAATATTTTTAGGTTAATCGCTAAAAAATATTTTAAGGTCTAAAAAAGAAAATGTAAAAAATTAATATTTGAAAATAAAAACAAACTTCTTTAAAAAAACTTAATAACATAAACAAATAAAAAAGATGATAATATTAATATCATTTGACGTAAAATGAATTAAAAGTGTTATAACACCTTAAAAATGATAAATGAAAATAAGAATAAAGTAGGCAACATAAAATTTAAATTAATTATTTTCCAGTAAATAGTTAAGATAAATGGCTAAGAAATACTTTTAAGGATAAAAAACGTAAAAAATTTGATATTTTTAAAATTCAAAATTTCATAAAAAGTATTAACTTAAACAGGTAAGAGGAATAATAAAGACATTAACTTAAATAATGTTGCTATATCTTTTTGGCTTTCATTGCTTTCTACTTTCTTTTTCATTTTTAATGATAAAAAAGTGCTGTATTATTTTGTTTCATGCTATATCTATTTTGCTTTGCTTTTAGCTCCAAAGAAAGAAAAACATAATTTCATGTACTTATAATTTTATTGTTGTTGATTTTTTTACCCTTTCTTTTTAAATTTCTTTGATTTTCCCAAAGAAATGGGTGAGCTTGAGGTACCTCTTCTCTCTCCATTTCTCTATTTCTTTAACTTAATTTTTTTTCCTATCAGACAAAATAGTTAAAAGGGTAAATGGTCAAAGAGTTAAGATAGGGAATTCTGCATTTGTGTGAATAATTTATTTGCAACTATCAATTATCAAATAATTGGTACCTTATAAAAGAATAGAAAATCTTTTTATAAGCCGTTTTCTAGTTGTCTTACACTAAGGATTTGAACAAGGAAAATGGTAATAATGATGATAAAAGAGAATCAAAAGAAATTAAAAAAGTCTTTGATCAAACTTTTCTTTGTAGGTTCAATCGGTCACAAGGATTTCCAGCACAACTTATCAATATTGGTGGATACTTGAAGCTCTTTGTTCATTTGAAACAAGGTTGGTTTCTACTTAAGTTTTCTTTGAACTCAAAAAAAAAAAAACTGCGTGGATCCTGAGAATTCATGTTTCCTAGGTATATTTATCTTGTTTGCTGTGTTTTTCTCTCTAGAATGAAAGAAAATAGTGTTGCTGTATCTATATATTTTGCTTTCTTTGCTTTCTATTTTCTATTTTGTTTTATGCTATATCTATTTTGATTTGCTTTTAACTTCAGAAACAAGAAAAAAAAATAATTCAATGTTCTTATAATTTTATTGCTGCTAATCTTTATTACCTTTTTCTTTTAATTTCTATTTAGGTTGGTCCTTAATTCTCCTTTCCTAATGATATCTGGAGTTGGTGATGTAAAGAGTCCACACAGTTTAATTTAGAAGATCCATCCCCAATTAGGTATGCTTAAATAATTATTTTTATTTCCATTGTTTTTTATATGCTCAAAAGTTGTTTACTTATTTGTTTCCCTGGCATATTAAAAAAAAAAAAAACTGCATTTATAAGGAAAAAAGTGAAATAAATAGATTCATTTAAAAATTGAGAAAATATTAGATAGATTAATGATAAAAATATATACTATGCCCTTAATCTAATACATGTAACGTATATTCTTAATATATGCATGAACACTGAATAATTTCTTCCATCTGCAGAATTTTTATTTCCAAATTGATCCATCAACCATTTGTTCTCTTTTATTTTCATTTTCATGGAGCGATATATTGCTCCCAAAGTAATTAAGATGCTGCGCAGCATATCAGCTAATATAATCTAAAAATTTACTTCTTTCAAGTGGTAGGATGAATCAATGGAGGAAAAAAAAAAAAACCAAGAGATTTAGAATCATTAACCCTTTCTTTTGTTTGTTTGGTCATAAAATCTAATTGCATTGCATGGGGCATAATTTGATACAGAATCCAATCCATGAAAACCAACAAAACTGAGTAAGTGAGAAAATTATTGTTGAAAAATAAATTTAATCCATGAAAACCAACAAAATAAAGTAGGTGAGAAAGTGATTGTTGAAAAATAATTGAAAAAAGACAAAAACAAGGGTCCATAATTCAAAAGTGCATCAATGACGCCATGTCCCACTACCATCAATAGATCAGTTTTCTTCGAGGAAAAAAAAAATTAACCGAGCACAAAAAAGAAAAAGTAAACGTGTGACTTGAAGGCATTGCACCCGACTCCCAACAAAAGGAAAAGATGCTTGGGCCCTTGTCCAGCTGTCTTTCACTAAGGATTTGAGCAAGTAAAATGATAATAACGGTGATAAAAGAGAATCCAAAGAAATTAAACAAGTCTTTGATCAAACTTTTCTCTGTGGTTTCAATCAGTCACGAAAATTTCAAGCACAACTTTGAAACTCTTTTGCTCATTTCAAATAAGGTTGGTTTCTACTTAAGTTTTCTTTGAACTCAAAAAAATAAAATAAAATAAAATAAAAACTGTGTGGATAGAAATAAAAAGCTCGATCTTGAATCCTGAAAATTCATATGTCCTAGGTATATTTGTCTCTTTTTTTTTTTTTCTTGTGTTTTTCTCTCTACAATAAAAGAAGCAAAAATAGTATTGCCGTATAATTTTGTGGTTTCCTTGAGTTCTATTTTCTATTTTATTTCATGCTATATCTATTCTCATTTGCGTTTAACTTCAAAAAAATAGAAAAAAAATTCCATGTTCTTATAATCTTATTGTTACTAATCTTTATTTCCTTTTTCTTTTAATTTCTATTAAGGTTGATGATGTAAAAAATTCTCACAGCTTAATTTAGAATGCCCATCCCCAATTTGGCATGCTTGAATAATTATTTTTATTTCCATAATTTTTTATATGCTCAAAAGTTGTTTACTTGTTTGTTTCCCTACCTTATTTAAATAAAAGACTGCACTTATAAGGCAAAAAAAAAAGAAATAAATGGATTTATTTAAAAATTGAGAAAATATTAGATGGATTAATGATCAAAATATATACTGCCTTTACTCTTAACACATGTAACATATATTCTTAATATACGCATGAACACTGAATAATTTCTTCCATTTGCAGAATTTTCAATTTCCAAGTTGATCCATCAACAAATTTTCTCTTCTACTTTACAATTAGCTCTCAAAGTAATTAAGGTACTTTGCAAACATTCACAATTTCTTTTGTCTCTCTAGCTGTTTATGTTAGGCCAAAAGGTCTCAATCTAATCACGTCAGCAGAAACGAAATCAAATAATTAATTAAATACACAAAAGATAATAATTTAATATAATAATTTAACGTAGTTCGATCCAACTGATTTACGTTCATGGATAAGACACAAAATTTACTAGTTATAGAGAATTACAAACATACATCATAACATATCAATTACTCAACAATCAATACCTATAGATTTTTTTTTATTTGTTAGTAAATTAGGTTTGGAGTAGACGATCTTGAGTTGGACTGAAACAAATATATTTGTGTATTTTTATTCTTAATTTGAGCTTGCTATTTTGTGTATAGGTTTTGCGTGTGCGTGTTGATTTTTCCAACAGTTTATATGTTTACTAATCATTAAAGTTGTTTTTCAATCTCAGATCATCAAAGAATGGCTGCTGAATTTGCTGCCTCTGCTGCTGCCAATGCTGTAGGAAACCTTACAACAGAATATGCATCACCTTATGTTAGTTACTTTTTCCGATTTGGGAAAATTGTTGAAGAATTCAAGAATCGGAGAAATGAACTTGAATTGAAAAGTGATCGGATAAAAAATGATGTCGAAGAGGCTACAAGGCAAAATGAGGTAATTGAGAAGGATGTCCAAGACTGGCGAAAAAGGGCAGAGAAAGAACTTGAAGAAACCCAGTGTTTGGAAGCTGAAATAGAACGTATGAAGTGTTTCAATTGGTGTCCAAGTTGGGGTTGGCGATTATGCTTAAGTAAGAAAGTGGCAAAGAAGACGATCTCTATCAATAAACTTCTTGAGAGTTGTAACTTTCCACGGGTGGGCCACTTTGAACCTCTTCAGGGGATAGAATTCTTCCCATCTGAGGATTTCATGCCTTCTAAATCTTCAAATTCAACGTTAAATGACATCATCAAGGCTCTAAACACTAATGGTGTGAACATGATTGGATTGTATGGAATGCCAGGGGTGGGCAAAACAACTTTGGCAAAAGAAGTTGGGAAGCATGCTGAAGTGAAAGAGCTCTTTGACAGAGTTGTGATGGCTACAATGTCCCAAACGCCAAACATCAACAAAATTCAAGATAAATTTGCAGAATTATTAGGTTTGAAATTTAAAGCAAGCACGGAAGAAGGAAAAGCAGGAGAGCTATGCCAGAGATTGCAAGGCGCGGAGAAGATCCTCATAATTATCGATGATGTTTGGAAGGAGTTTAAATTGCAGACTGTAGGTATTCCATTCGGAGTTGAACGCGGAGGTTGCAAAGTTCTTCTGACCACACGTCTTGAACAAGTCTGTGTTCGTATGAATTGTCAACAGAAATTTGAACTTCACATCTTATCCGAAAGTGAAGCATGGGTTTTGTTCAAAGATACTGCTGGTCTAAATGATGTTTCTTCGGAATTGAATGATGTAGCCAAGGAGGTTGCTAGTGAATGCAAGGGTTTGCCTCTTGCAATTGAAACAATCGGAAAAGCTTTAAAAGGAGCAAATCTAGATGGGTGGCAAGCAGCAAATAAGCGACTCAAGGACTCAAGACATTTAGACAATGAAGACGTTTCTGAAGACATCTACAACTGCCTTAAGCTGAGTTATGATTATTTGAAGAGAGATAATATTCGAACATGTTTCTTGCTGTGTTCCCTTTTTCCAGAAGATTGGGGTATCGAGATTGAGGAGTTGGTTATGTTTGCAATTGGTCATGGATTATTTTCTCATATTTTCTTAATTGAAGACTTGCGGAGAGAAATTCGTCAAGCACTAAGAAGCCTCCAGAAGTCTGGTTTGTTATTGAGAACTGATGATGATGATGATGAAAGATATGTAAGGATGCATGACGTGGTTCGTGATTTTGCTCATTGGATAACATCTACAGGGAAAAATATATTCATGGTAAAAGAGTGGTTGATGGAATGGCCTCCAAGTGAAAGTTGTGGATCTCATACAGCAATCTCCTTTAGGAACAGCAACATAAATATTTTTCCTGAAAAATTAGAATTTCCAGAACTCAAAATTTTGATTTTTACAGGAAAGACTTTAGTGAAAGTTCCGATTGCATTTGTTGAAGGAATGAAAGCCCTCCGAGTTTTGCATCTCGAAAATGTCATTTTCTCACTAGAAGTACTTAATTTGGTAACAAATCTTCGAACTCTGTGCCTTGTAAATTGCGAGTTGGAGAACATCTCATCAGTGGGAAATTTGAAAAACCTTGAGATTCTTGCATTCTCTAATACTAATATTTATGAGCTACCTGAAGAATTAGCGGCATTGCGTGGCCTAAAATCGCTACATTTTTTTTCCTCTGGAAGAAAAGAGATCAATTTTCCCCCTAATTTACTGTCAAGGTAATAGTAGATGTCAATTATTTTATTTAATCATATTGCCAAAAATTAAGAATTTAGTTTTATGTTATTTATTTTTCTTTTATTTACTTTATTAAATAATTTGACTTTAGACTATGGGAAAAATATCTACCTTAAGCTTTTGGTCACTCCCGTTATCATGAAGCATTCAGAGCTGTAGTCATTTCCATTAAAAAGAAATGCTATTATATAACATGATTGTCACATGAATTACAAAACAGCAAAAAAATGCTCAAACCTTTTTTTATAAGAAAAGGGGCTGAAGAATCATGCTATATTTGCTGAGATAATTAAAATTAATTTATGTTTACTTCTATTTTTATGATTCACTTTTAAGTGTTTGATAATACTTTTTCGTATTTGTGTGTAACAAATAGGTTGACATCACTCCAAGAACTATACGTGATATGTGAAAACAATGTCAACTTATCGGAGCTGAATTCATTGTCTCGTTTGACTGTGCTGTCACTGAAGGTTTCTCCTACTCGATGTTTTCCAGAAAACTTTGTGTTCCCTAAACTACAAAGCTACATTATATTTGTAGATGCAAGTGTTGAATTTATGCGGGGGCCAAACTTTAGAGCCTTGCAAATTATTGACCCAACTTCATTTAGTGCATACAAGGAGTTGTTTTGCAATGTGGAAATTTTTGCTCTGGAGAATGCCATGGGACACAAAAATATTGTCCACATCGTAGATCCCGAGGGTCTAAATGCAAGCCTCCAAAGTCTAAAGATTGCAACCATTCGGAAGTGCAGTGAATTGAAATCCATCTTCCCGCCTTGCCTTGCTCAAAGTTTGTTGCATCTACAAGTACTTGAAATATCTGAGTGCGATAGAATAGAACAAGTCTTTGATTTTCCTCCCCAAGAAGTGGGAGAGCTTGAGGTATCTGTTTTCTCTCCATTTTTCCTTTAATGGATAATGAGAAATTGCTAAACTTTATATATTGCTCATATAATTAACTTCTATTGAAGATTAGAAGAGATAAAGTTTAATTAAATTATATTAGTAACTAATCTAAATGTATATTTATTACATGACTTGCAAGTTGAGAAAACTAACATTATATATATTTTTTTTCTCTTTATAAAATCATTGTATTTTTTGTCCTTTTTTTATTCTTTATTAAATTATATATTATTCAATAACTACTATTATTACCTTTGTATATAATGTTTTGTCCATATTTATTTGCATTTTCAATCAATGAATTCATGTCAGGTACGACCACTCTCTAATTTAACTTCTTTGGAGCTAAAGTCATTACCCGAATTGAAGTGGATATGGAAAGGGCCCACCCATCTTGTTAACCTCCAAAGTCTTAAGACTATGAGAATAGAGGGGTGTTTGAAACTGGCTTATCTATTTTCGACTCCCCTGGCTCAAAGTTTGATGCATCTGGAAGTACTCCAAATAAGCCATTGCGATTCTTTGGAACATGTAATCTTTGATGAAGCAGAAAATGAGGTCTTCAATATGACAAAGGATAAGGATGGACGTCCACCGCAAGACATTGTGCTACAGAGATTGCAAATTTTAAGACTTAAAAATTTAGAGAAGTTGAGTAGTTTTTGTCCAGAAAATTTTGTCATGTCATTATCTTTGAAGGCGTTCGAAGTTTGCAATTGTCCTCAATTAACAGAGTTCAAGACGTTGCAGGCCCATTTAAAGGTACTTTTCTTATACTATATTTTTGTTTTAATTTTGTTTATTTTGGTAATAATTAATTGAATTATTTATCTTATAACACAAACATCAAAATTTAGTACATTCACATCTACATGTAAAAGTATTATATAGTATTTATATATAATTAGCTTCTGTTGATGTTTAAAAGAAAAAAGTTTAATTCAATGTATATTTATTACATGACTTGCAGGTTGAGAAAACTAACACTGTATCTTTTTTTCTCTTTATTAACACACATTATAAAATCTTTGTATTTTTTTCTCTTTTTTATTCTTTATATAATAAAATAATATTCTACAACAACTAGTATTGAATTTATAAAGATCTTAAATCGTACAATTTGATAAAGGGTAAAAACGAAAAAACAAAAAAAAATTAAAAATTAAAAAAGGAAACAGGAAGGAGAAAGAGAAAGACAAGGAAAAAAAAAGAAAATGTAGAAAGAGAAAGGAAAAGAAGGAAAAAAAAAGAAAAGAAAAAAAAAGGAAAATGAAATTATTTAAAAAGTTTATAATTTTATAATCTATTGTATTAAAAATTAAATTAATAAAATTAATTATATTGATTATTTTTTCCTACATAATTTTAATCTTGTTTATAAATTTAATTTATTTTACTTTTACACACATCATTCATTACATTGTAATTGTATTCAATTTATATTCATATAAAAAATTTATGGATAAAAAATATATAAAAATATATTTTATTGTAGTGTCTTACCTACCCGTGTCCTCTCTTTTTATAATTGTTGTGTTGCCGTGTCCATGTCGTGTCTTAACTATATTATTTGTCACTATTCATGCTTTCTAGGTTCTAGTTATACTCAATTTAATTTGGATTGTTAAAATTTCTATAATAATGAATTTTTAATGAAAAGCGAAAGATAAAAATATTCTTTTAACTCAAATCTTTCTTTTTCCTAATAAAAGAAATCCAATTATATGTTTCTAATTCTGCTAATAGTTTCCATTATATTGTGAATTTATCAGGATGTCCCATCATATGGTTTCAAGGAATTGTTATGCAATGTCAAAGAACTTACCATGGATGGATTCATGTATCACAATTTGAAACATCTCTTCTCACCATCACTTGTTCAAAGCTTGGTAATGCTAGAAAAACTCAAGATAAAACACTGCGATGAACTGGAACACATTGCCACTGAGTTGGAAATTGATACTAATGTAGAATCAGACAGTGGCCTTCTCCATCATCCGCCCTTGCCAAAATTGACATCTCTTGAAATACATGGGCATATTAGGTTCTTACAAAAGTTAAAAGATTTGACCATTCGATATTGTAAGCGGTTGAAAGTGGTATTTGAAATGGATGGGCTTCTTGAAAAGGAAGAAATTAGTCAGACGCCGCTACTCTCAAATTTAACAAGTTTGGATCTATCTTCTTTACCAGAATTGGAGAGTATATGGAAATCACAATCAACCCATCAATATCATGCAAGCCTCCGAAGTCTGAAGGTTGTAAACATTCGGAGGTGTGATGAATTGAAAGCGATCTTCCCGCCTTGCCTTGCTCAGAGTTTGTTGCATCTACAAGAACTCTCTATATGTGCCTGTGAGGGATTAGAGCAAATCATTGATTTTCCCCATGAAATGGATGAGCTTGAGGTACTTGTTCTCTCTCCATTTCTCCTTTAATGAATAATGAGAAATAATTAAACTTTATATATTATCATATAATTAACCTCTATTGAAGTTTAAAAGAAATAAAGTTTAATTAAATTATATTAGTAAATAAATTAAATTTATACTTATTACATGACTTGTAAGTTGAAAAAGCTAATATTATATACCTTTTTTTCTTTTTATTAACACAATTTATAAAATATTTGTATTTTTTTCTCTTTTTTTGTTCTTTATGTAAAAATATATTATTCAATAACTACTATTATTGCCTTTGTACGTAATGCTTTTTCTATATTTATTTACCTTTTCAATCAATTAATTCATGTCAGGTACGACCACTCTCTAATTTAACCTTTTTGGAGCTAAAGTTATTACCAGAACTACAGTGGATATGGAAAGGGCCCACCCATCTTGTTAACCTCCAAAGTCTTAAGACTATGAGAATATGGGAATGTGCGAAACTGGCATATCTCTTTTCAACTCCCCTTGCTCAAAGTTTGGAGCATCTAGAAGAACTCGACATAAAAGATTGCGGCTTTTTGGAACATGTAATCTTCGGAGAAGCAGAAAATGAGGATCAAATAGTTTCAAACGTGGATGGCTATCCTCTCCGCTGGCCTAAGTTGAGAACTCTCAAGATAATTAATTGCGAAAGATTGAATTATGTGTTTCCAATCACTTTGGCTCAAGGACTTCCTTATTTGGAATCTGTTGAGATAACTGATTGTTCTCAACTAAAGCAGGTCTTCAATATGACAAAGGACAAGGGTGGACGTCCACCACAAGACATTGTGCTACAGAGATTGCAATTTTTAAGGCTTAAAAATTTAGAGAAGTTGAGTAGTTTTTGTCCAGAAAATTTTGTCATGTCATTATCTTTGAAGATGTTCGAAGTTTTCAGTTGTCCCCAATTAACTGAGTTTAAGACGTTGCAGGCCAATTTAAAGGTACTTCTCTTATACTATAATTTTGTTTTAATTTTGTTTATTTTGGTAATAATTAATTGAATTACTTATCTTATAACACAAACATCAAAATTCAGTACATTCACACTTAAATGTAAAAGTATTATATATAATTAGCTTCTGTTGATGTTTAAAAGAAAAAAGGTTGATTAAATGTATACTTATTACATGGTTTGCAGGTTGAGAAAAACTAGCACTACATATTTTTTTCTCTATTAACACACTTTATAAAATCTTTGTATTTTTTTCTCTTTTTAATTCTGTACATAATAAAATATTACTCAATAACTACTATTATTGAATTTATAAAGCTTATAAATCGTATGATTTGGGGAAGGGAAAAAGGGAAAAATGAAAGAAAAAAAAAAGAAGAAATGGGATGAAAAAGAGAGAAAAGAAAAAGAAGAAAATGTACGAAGAAAAAGAAAAAGAAGGAAAAAAAAGAAAAGAAAAGAAAAAAAGGAAAAATGAAACTATTTAAAAGGTTTAAAATTTTATAATTTATTAGTATTAAAAATTAAATTAAAAAATTATAATTATATTCATTATTTTTTCCTATATAATTTTAATCTTGTTTATAAATTTATTTTATTTTACTTTTACACATACCATTAATTATTTTATAATTGTGTTCAATTTATATTATTATAAAAAATTTATGGATAAAAAATGTATTTTATTGTCATGTTTTACCATATCAGTGTTTTCTATTTTTAAAATTGTTTATTTGTCATATCCATGTCGTATCGTACTTGTATTATTTGTCACTATCCTTGCTTTTTAAGCAGTAGTTACATTTAGTTTAATTTGAATTATTTAAATTTCTACAATAACAAACTTTTAGTGAAAAGCGAGGAATAAAAATATTCTTTTAACTCAAATCTTTCTCTTTCCTAATAAAAGAAATCTAATTATATGTTTCTAATGTTGCTGCTATTTTTCATTATATTGTGAATTTATCAGGATGTCAGAAAACTTGCCATGGATGGAATCATGTATCACAAAAATCTCATTCCAAGCGTAGATCCACAGGGACTAAATGAATTAACTTTTCTTACACTTAGAGATGAGAAAGAGCTGGAATGCTTGATTGATACAACAGACCAAGGCCATGTCTCAACCGTTCCGCTGCTGCCAAATTTAACAAGTTTGGAGCTAGAGCTATTACCAGAATTGAAGTGGATATGTAAAGGGCCCAACCATTCTGTCTGCCTCCAAAGTCTGAAGGTTGCAGTAATTAGTGGCTGCAATAAATTGAAATATCTCTTCTCACAATCACTTGTTCAAAGCTTGGTGATGCTAGAACAACTCCAGATAGGGTACTGCGATGAACTGGAACATATTGCCACTGAGTTGGAAATTGATGATAATATAGAATCAGACAGTGGCTTTCTCCATCCTCCGCCCTTGCCAAAATTGACATCTCTTGAAATACATGGTTGTCCAAGACTACAATATGTCTTCAATGTGGCAAAAGAAAATAATGGAGTTGATAATGCCATTCTGCCACCATCATTGGATAAGTTAACCATAGTGGTTTGTCCTCGATTTGCAAAGTTCATTATTCAACAAGTAGTCCACAAACGGCTTCAACTAAAGGTAACTTTATACTCCTTTCCTTACATTATGGTTTGAGATTTTACCTTTGGCCCAAATCTTTTCTATACTCATAAAATAATCAATGTTTTGAATCTCTTTTCAAAAAGGGGTTCTTATGTAAGTTTTATATTAGAAAAATTAAAATAAATCATTCAAGACTTATGTTGAACTCTCATCTTTAACAATATTTTATGTTCAACTCATTCAAGACTGAGTTAACTTGTTTGTTATTTAAAAAAAAAAAAAAACCTTGTTAAGTAATGGCAAAATAATAAAATAAGCTCTCTAACCATATTATAATCAAATTTTCACTTAAGCCCTTACATTATTATTGTGTGTAATTTAGCCATCCTACTATTTTAATTTAATGAAATCCAATTTGGATGGGAATTCAAACTGCTGGCATGCATACATATAGGCAAACTTTGATGACATGGCACTCATAGAGAACTTTTAGATAACATTTCACTTGCTTATAAAATAAATAGAATTTGAAAATCAATTAAACATATTTAATTTGTACATTATAATAAAATCTTGAGAATGGTATTTGTTTTACATATATACTAGCTTTTTTAACCGTGTTATTATTTTCATAATTGAAATTTATTTTTTAATTAACTTTAATTTTTTATATTTCCTTAATAAAAGAATATTTAAACTTTTATTAATCAACTATATATAATCATACATTCATAAATTTTAAGATACGATTAAATGATAGCATTCACATATTGTCGTTTTAAGTTTAATTTTTTACAAAATTTCAAAAATCCTTTCTTTTTTATCAAAATATTAATTTTTTTATTTATTTGCTAAACACCAAAAATTTTGTTACTAATTATTTATTTTTTGATAAAAAAAGCAAGGGTAAGTCTTTTAATAGTCAAAATTAATAATTTTTTTATGATAATATTAATATGGATATAAAAAAAATCATTTTATTAAATTGTAAAAGACATTTATATTAATAGAATATTCATAAACTATTAAATCTTATAAACCCGAACCAAAAATAAAACATCAAATAATAATAATTTCTTTTATATATATATTTGATTGAACAATAAAGCATATATAATTATTAATTTGTTCATAGCCATTTGCTTTTTATTAGTTTTTATTTTTTACATACTTCAACACATATATTTGCTTTTATTAAAACATAAGTCAAAGATACGTTTATAATAAAAAATCAAATATACAAATTGAGAATGCATATACAATTGAAATCTCTTGAACTTATGTGTAACAAATATCCAACTTAACTAAATATATAAAAATATATAAATAAAAATTTTTTTAGAATAAATCAAATCAAATGTATATATCATATAATAGAAATAAGACCAAATAAATAATTTGAAGGAACAAACAAATGGAGGAAATAAAAAAAAATAAAATACGAAAAAAAGTAATGAACTATACCTATTACCAAGTTGAAATCAATCCAAATGTACGTATGTTTTCTTTCCATTATTGAAATTTCATAAAAAAAATCAATGTCATTTAAGCAAAAAATATACAAAAGTAAAAACAATCCAACACCATCACATATTGATTTTTGCAAATAAAAAAGAAAATAAAAGAAAAAAGAGAATAATAAAGGCAAAAATGAACTTGTTCACGGTATGATGTGGTTTACTCTTCTTTCCAACTTTTGTCCATTCCCATCAAAACCAATAAATCATAACTGTCAAGTAAAAAAAAAAAGGCTTGTATTCTTCAATTTCCAATTCTAATAACAATAAATAAAATAAGCTTGGTTAGAAGGTGACCTCTCACTTTATAAACTCTTTATTTTCAATTTTAGATTCTGATTTCATCAAATAAAAATGTATTAAGTGTGTGTATATATATATATATATATATTATGATTAAATTTTAAAAAAAAATTATGATTTAATACATTTAAATGCAAAACTTATGCAAAATTTTCAACTTTTGTTAGAGTTTGATTTGAATTTAAATAGTTATCCAAAAATATTAAATTTAGATAATTTATTAAATAGAATTATTTGATGGTAGATAAAAATATATTAACCATATAAATACATATATATTTTTGGAACTATGATTAATTTAAAAAGAAAAAATAAATTATAATTTAATATATTTGAATTTAAAATTTATGCAAAAATTTTTTCTATAGATTTTGATTTGAATTTAAATAATTATTCAAAAATATTAAATTTAAATAATTTATTAAATAGAGTTATTTGATAAATAATATAATAATATAAACATTATCCTACATGTCATAAATAGAAGTTACTCACATAAACGTACTTATATATATATTAGATTTTGTACTTTTGAAGTCATATATTATTTGACCATTGTAATTTATTCAAATTTTAATGAAATTATGATATTTTTATATTTATACAGGAGTTACGATTCTCTGAGTTGGGACAAGACAATGTGTGTGACACTATTAATTGGGAGAATATATTTCAAATTCAAGGCGGACACTTGTTCTCAAAGATAGAGATTTTAAATCTAAAGGGTATACATCAGTTGCAGGGTCCCATACAAGTTGCAAGCCTTCCTTATCTTAAAGACTTAAAAGTGTCAAGTTGTAAAAGGCTGAAATCTCTCTTCTCTTCTATGCTTGCTCCAAATATGCCGCAATTGAAAGTTTTGAAAATAAAGTGTTGTGAGGAGTTGGAAGAAATCATTGAAATGGACCAAACTTCAATAGCATCATCATCACAGAGTCATCTCCAACCTATATCCTTCCCTAGTCTTCAATTTATATCTATTTCTGGGTGCAGCAATTTGAAAAGCTTGTTTCCTATTAGTGTCGCCCGTTCTTTTGCCAACCTCGAGAGAATCCAAATTGAAGGGGCTTCTAAACTAGAGCAAGTCTTTGGGTATCAAGGTGAACTAGACATTGAAGATGATCAAAAGGGAATAGTGCTCCCTCAATTAGAAATAGTGGATCTTTCTGAGCTATCAGACCTAAAGAGTTTTGCTCCAACTGGTTGTCATTTCCGATTCCCTTCTATGTCGGTTCTTAGAATAACCAAATCTCCCAAGTTGACCATAACAGAGGTAACAGAGGTACCTAACCGACTTTTTTTTCTAACTATTGTGCTGAATTAATTAATTTGTTGTTCTTGATCATATTGATACTAATGATGAAACGATGATGGAAACAAAAGTTATGTTAGTATATAACAACATATTATTATGAAATGGATGACTCTTTTATATACATACACAAGTCATATGCATAATTAATTTATTAATTACTTCTAGAATAACTTACTTAATGAGAATTGTCTTTTGTTGTGAAGGAACCCCAACAAGTTCAGAATAATACAACAGAAGGTTTCACCACAATGGAAGAAATAGTTGATAATCAATCCACCTGCAATGATATATTTTGGGATATTTCGAATGATCAAATACCTCTATATATGACTGTGGGAGAAACAAGGATAATGTTATGCAAGGAAGTGAAATTTAAGGAGAAACTTGTTAGCTAAACAGGTAAATATGGCTTTTTTCCATGTCTAGTGGTGGATTTACATGGCATTGTGGGGTGTACATTGAAAATAAAAAAAATTTAAAGAAAAATTTTGTGTTGGATACCCTCAATATCTTTTTTGGGACACTGTTAAAAATTAGAAAATAAGAAATTTTAAAAGAAAATTTTCCATAAACATTCAAAATTTTCTTTTAAACACTATTTTCATGGATAATATTACTTCCCAACAAAAATCTTGAATCTGCCTCTGTCCATGTATTTATGATTTCCTTAATCAAGTTTCTTGTTTAAATTCTTATTCATTCTTTGCCTCAATGATAGGTGATTGATACTTGATTATGCTTATCATCGTTGGAGCTTTCTGTTTTATGGCGCCGTCAACTGGTTGGATCTCTATTTTTTCAGTTTTACTTTGCAGTGAAGAACTAGTTTACTCTACATTTCATAGAATTTGCATGTTTGATATTGTGAATAAAGTTATGTTTAGCCATTCATGTAAGACAAATTTCATCTATTTTTTTACTTGGACTCGAACTCAAGCTTACATGTCTCCTAAATCCTCTTCTTATCGCTTGGCCAAGACATTGTTCGCAAAATTCATGTACTCTAAAGAAACATGGTTTTTTGTGTTCAGTTTGGTTTGCTGGTTCTTTATTAGTTCCTTATAGCAGCTTGTATGTATGAGCAGTATGTAGTTATGTCTACTTGCATGTCATAGATAGTTCTCCATGCTTGTTTTTATTGTGGTGATTTAATAATTAATTCAATGATATGTCATTTATACACTATGTTATATGAACTCGTGTGATAAGACATCAAACATGAATAAATTTTGTTTTGACAAGTATCCTATACATATGAACAGTAAAGTGTTCAAAAAATATCAAGGCTCAGACGGAGCCAAATTGAATTGGAAGTTAATTATCCCACAAATTTACATACAATATACTTTGTGGAGATTATTTGTTGTAGCAAAATTTGTAGAAGCAGCCCCAACAATAATACCAAAAGATACCATGCAATAATGATGATGAATTCATGACATTTAAAAAGAAAAATTAAAAATATAAACCAAATCAAAACATGTAAATGGAAAAAATACTATTACGTAATTCAACTTTTACATCATATAATTTTTTAAATTCCACTGAGATCTTTATAATTTTTTATTATTCATCTAATTAGTGGGAATTTTTGGGTGGTTAATTTGGAAGAAGACAGCATGCTACCCTAAGGCCATCACTTTCCTCAAAGGCCAAGGGATAAAATATTGTTGGAAGGAGCATCATTATGAAAAGGGACCAAAGGTTTTGGCCTTTTTTATTATATTTTCTTTTAGTTTTTATTGATTTCGGCAATATAAACATATTTTCACTGATTTGTTAATTAATTGAAGATTGTCCATATTTCATCCATATTCTCGTGTCTTGATCTAGCTATATATCGAATATCATTCTTTTTGAACAGTGTGAAATGAAATTAATTAATGAAGATGCATTTGCATACATGTGAATATTTTCTCTAGTTTTAAATTTTGAATTATTTCATTACTAGATTGATTGATTGATTTATTATTTATTATTAAAAAAATGCATTTCCATAGACAAAAAATTCAAAATATAAATCATTCATGTTTTAGGCTGATAATTTATAGCTAGCTGCTTAATGTTTACATACTTTTTTTTTTCATTTTTTCTTAATATAATTAAAAAGAATTTGATTAACCATGTTTATCATAAGTAAACCTAACGATTCACCTATTCATAAAGTGTGATATAATAAAATTCATATATTCGTTTCGTGTTTTACACAAAAATTATGTCATATTTCGTATCGATATAAAAATATAAAAAAAAAATTTTGATTTTATTAAACTTATATATAGTTATTATTATAATTTTAAATTCTATCACTTTCGTATTCTATTTTTATATTATATTCATATTATATAATCATGTCATATTTTAAATTGTCAAGTCTAATCATAAGAAGTGATTATGGTATTCGAGTCATGGGGAGGGGGGATTTTTAATTGCTAGTTTTGAATTTCAAATTAAAACAAGAAAGTCATTCTCCTTATTTCTAGTTAGGATTATATATGATTTTTTCTGGTTATTATAAAGCAAAAAAGCTAGTCTTGTTGCCAAGCCTTCAAGAGTTCCAAAAAAAAATTGCTATGTCAATGAAAATTTTAGGAAATTCTTTAGTTATTAATTTTTTTATGAACTTAATAGTATAAGAAAGTATTATATAAGAAAAACATTGAATTAAATCAATAAATAAATCAACACATAATTAAATAAATTTAATATAAAATTAAATTAAATTCACATATGATGAGAATTGAACTTAAAAATTTAATATTATCAGATTTATAAATATTATAATGTTGATAATGCACAAAGGTTACATTTAAAAACACAAAAATATTTTCATTTAATCACTAAATATTTAAAAAAAAAAAAACAACAATGAAAAAATATAAAGTGATAAAGTTAAAGATTTATAATATGAATTAAATTGGTCATTTTTATCTTTTAGTTTATATTTGTATCATTAATTTGCTTCATGTTGCATCACATACATTTTACTATTCTTTAAAAATATATAATGTAGTAAAAGATGACTATAAAAGAAATTATTTTTTTAAAAACAAAATAAGATAATATGTTAAGTAAATATTTCTTGAGACTTTACCTAAATATTGGAGGAATTCTTAATAATTATTTCTTATGAAAATAATATTATCTTTGGTTTTATGGATTATCATGAAAATAACTAAGTCAAAAACATTTTTCTAAATTTTATCTAGATATTGAGAAATTTGAAACACGAAATTTTTATTTTATTCTAAATAAAATGACTCTAAAAAGGATGGCAAAAAAAGGGGTTTTATGATAATAAATGGGATTTAAGACATTAATTTTAAAATTTAAAATTTAGGCCATTTTTTATCAATATTAAAGGAATATATGTTATTAATTGAGACTTTTTTTTAACCGGTACTATGGGGTATAAAATACTTTTTAGGAGGGAGTAAAGTACTTACACTCTTGTGAGATGAATACATCTACAATTGCTGGTGAAATACGCTTATTCAAATTAAACCTTTTTCATTTGTTTTCTATAATAGTTGAAGATCAAGGCACCTTGCTAGACTAGCATGGGCAATAGTGAAGAGCAATTTGAGAATCTTTAGATACGTAGAAATCCTAGTCAAGCATATAGAAAATCATAAAGAACTACCATGTAGGTAGAGCCATGCAGAACCTTCTGCATAGAATGCACCCAAATTAGAACACATGAAAAAACAGTTCTTACCCTTTACTTGATTTTAGACAAATACATGGATCGTAGAATAGGAGAAGTTTAATAGCATCTCGATATCTATAATAGGATGACACCACCATTTCGAGGCTTTTGCAATACCTGATGAAAGCCTAAATGTATATATTTTCTTAAAAAAAAAAGGAATTTTCTTTGATAAGTAAAAAGGCAAATGTTTTCAAAATAATGAAACCAATTTCTTTTCCTATTTTGAAAATTTATTCATTATAAATCTATTTTTACTAACTTTTTTATTTTTGTGTTTTTTCTTTTTGCATGCATCATCAAAAATATAAAATAGTTGCATTGAGGTGTATTTTTATTTTAGATAATGTCTAGCCAAGAGAACTACTATTGTGATCGTGAAATCTCATAATTCACTTTCAGTATTTACTATTAGTAAGACATATTGGGAAATTAATGATCAATTTGAGAATGGGCAACAAAAGGATGAGGATTGTTTAATTAAAGGACATGTCTTGTAATAGTCCATTTAAACCTATGTTAGAATGACTTGAATAAGTTGGAAAACATTTGGAATTAATGGAGGCAAAAAGAAAAAATGCTTTTATTAAGAAGTACATAAATATTGTGCTACTTATTTTGGTAAAGACAAATGAAAAGTAAATTAAGGTGATAATATGATTTTGGAGCCTCATCATACCGTTGTTTAACTTTCAACAAAAAAGATATGACATTAACTATTGAAGAATATTCCACTTTGCTTCAATAAAGTTTCCAAGTATAGGATATACTAGAAAGAATAAAAGAAATCAAGTTATCAAAAGAAGCTTTATAAGATAACTGGTGTGGATGTCAAAGTGATCAATAAGAAGAAAAGAGTCATTGATGGTATCCCATAGGCTTTCTTACATAATCTTAAATTTAAGAACCATAATGAAAAGCAAGTTATTGAAATATTTTCCTTGGCAATTTATGGTTGCTAATCTTTTTTAGGGTATTAGGGCATGTCAAGGTATAAATGGTAGATTTTTCAGCATACCTGCATAAATATTTCAATCCCTTAATGGTTATCTTACCAAAGATAATTAAATCATTGAATTGTTGTCGAAGAAAAGGAGAATGGCATTTTTTGGGATGTGTGCAGCTTTTATACATCTTGCTTCAAAGCCATTTTTAGGGCAAAGATAAAGTTCCTCTAAACCATACAAGAAATCCTAGTCCTTAACACAAAGTTCTATAAAAAAAAATGGCTAAAGGACCTAAAAATACCTATATCTAATGGAGAATCTAATTTTTTACCTAAATGAAAATGAAAAAGGGTATTACATTGTGGGTATAGGGATAAAGATATATATGATTTTAAATTTTTATTAGGTATAGGGATGGGGATGGGTAATATAACACCTAACCCATATTTGTACTTTACATATATATTTATATATACTTAGTAAATAGATTTTTTGTTAAATGATATAAATTATTATTTTAGATTAATTAGAATTAATATATTTTTATTGAAAAATATATATTAATATATATTTATGAAAACATTACCTAAATATATAATATAAAAATAAAAATAAGCTAAAAAAATAAATTATAGTTTTTATTTAAAAAAAAAAAGCTATGGATATAAGGATTACCTATACTTATTAAATACTTAGGAGGATAGGGGTGAGGATAGATTTGAAATACCTACTTGATATGGATACCGGGATAGGTATAATATAAAAATTTGGGAATGGGATAGGGAATGCTCTATCCACCTTATACCTTACCTATTGACATCCGTAGAAAGACCTCATTAAAGAGCAATGTGTTGCATTCTTTCAAAATCTTAATATGGAATATTTGATTTGGAGAGCACTTTGGATGCTTCATACATCTACATTGTATAGTTGAAGTGATAAAACATGGGTCCACTTTTATGAATTTCGGGAGTTATGAGTTATGTACCCTTTTATGGTCAGGAGATAGTATAAGTCTAAACAGTTTGTTCAGATGACTCATGGGTTAAACCAGTTAGAGTTTGATTATGGAAAATCTAACTATGTGGTTAGACCACACAATATCACTAAAGCATAAAAATAAACCTATTGATCACAGCTGAAAAGATGTACTTATGATGTCACTCCAGGATACTTAGTATGGAGAGCAAAATGGGTTAATAATATGGTACCCTCCATATGATGGTTTGCTCAACTAGTTGATTTATGGGCAAAGGCGCTGATGTTGGAAATCAAAATCACAAGATTGGAATTTGAGGCAGAAAAAGCAAGGACACAAAAAGAGAATCTCAGACTTTAAGAAACATTGAGACAATTGAATTATTAAGCCATTGTACAGGAAAGACAATTGGAGAAAGTTACCAAGGATAAAGATGTAAATCGTGGTTACCTTAAAGCTTGCATAAGAAAAATCAGAGGTTAAAAGCTTAATTAAAAGATGAAAAGATCAGATCCAATGAAAGCCAAAAATTTTTTTTTTTGTTTTGTTTAGTAATGGCATAACAATAAAATAAACTATCTAACTATATTTAATCAAATTTTCACTTAAGCCCTTACTTTGTTATCATGTGATTATGTCAAACTATTTGAGTTTAATGAAACCTAATTTGGATGGGAAATTCTAGTGATGATCCTATTAATTCAAATTGATGACATATATATATATATAGGCAAACTTTAATGACATTGCACTATGTGGAAAAAATTAATTAACAGTTGAAAACTAATTAAACATATGTTTAAAGTTATACATTCTTCAACCTTTGTAATTTATTCAATTTTTAATGAAATTATGATTTTTTTTATATTTATATGAACTATAACTTTCTGAGTTAAGACCTAACAACGCGTGCAACATAATTAATTGGGAAAGGATACTTCAAATAAGCTAGATATTTTCTCTCAAGAATAAAGGTTATAAATTTAAAGCGTATAAATTAGTTATAAGGTCCTTTCCAAGTTGCAAGCCTTCAATGTCTTAGAGAGTTAAATGTGTCAAATTGTAATAGGTTGAAATCTATCTTCTCTTTTATGCTGGCTAGAAATTTGCCACACATGAACTATTTGGATATAGAGTGTTGTGAAGAGTCAAATGAAATCATTGAAATAAACTAAACTTCAATAGCATCATTATTATAAAGTCATATCCAACCTATATCCTTCCCTTGTCTTAAACATATATGGATTTATGGGTGTAACAATTTCAAGGCTTGTTTCCAATTATTGTTGCCTATTCTCTTTCAAAACTAAAAAATATCGAAAGTAATTTGGCTTCCAAATCAAAGCAAGTTTTTGGGTATCAAAGTGAATTAAACTTGAGATAATAGAAAAGGAATAGTATTCCTTAAATTAAAAAGATTGAAACTTTTAGAGCTTTTAAGCTTAAATACCTTCATCCAAATAGGTTATCATTTTGGATTCCCTTCTTTGTGTTATTTTGGAGTAAAAAGGATGTCCCAATTTGAGTACAAGTTTTAGTAAAGACTCAAAACACATTTTCATGCCATAAAAATGGTACCTAACCAACTTTTTCTTTACTTATGCTTAATTTCTTGTTCTTGATGGTTTTAATTATCAAAATGAAGTGTTCTTATTCTTAATGAAAACAAAAGTCATATCTATTTTTTTGTTCTTAATGGAATACTTGAATATATACACACATGAAATGTTCAGTCCATCACCTAGTTATATAGAATCAATTAATTAACTAATATATTTTTTTTTAATTGAAGCTGTCAAATATTAAATCTAATTAATTAAATTAAAAATCTAACTATTATGGGTATTTTTAGGTCCAAAGGTTATTTTGGTCATCTTTTCTCATTAGAGACTACCAACAGATAGCCAGGGATATTTTAGACTTTTAAACTAACCTTACATGTTTGATTGACTTAAGGTTATAGTACTACGTTAGCTCAACCACCTTACTAATCTGCCCAACGAGCTCCCTTCAATGTTGACTTGTCGTCCTCTTGGTGGACAATCAATATCTAAGTTAACTTGATACTTTAGGTCATCTTTAACCATGTGACTAACCTTTGGTAGCCTAAGTTGCCCTAAACCCTTACTTTCAAATTATAACTAAAGTCATGCAAGTACTATCTAGACATGACATGTCTTTCTATCTTCTCTATTCTCTTTTCTATTTTCCTCTTTGGCTAATCTTTGACTTGAGCATCAAAGCACAAACTTTAAGGACACTCATAGTATTTAATCGTAATCGCTTTCTTTCTTTCCTTTGTGATTTTAGAGTCTTACCTCTCCAACTTAGCTTGACACAAGCATTTGATGCACCAGGTAGGGGAATTTCTTTTTCTAACTGAGCTAAAACACCATGCCACCAAGCAAGAAAGTTGTCAAGGAAGTAAAACCAACTGCCATAGCTAGAATAAAACCTAAGCCAGCCAGCCAACCAACAAACTGGCCTACGTTAGCAGGCCCTATAATGGATTTGTTTATTATGAACAGAATAACATTACAAACTTAGTTAATACCGATGGAATTTTTTTGTCTATAAATCAGTCAATAATGTTATCATTGACAGAAATTTGGCTTTTACCAATGAAAATTTTCACCAATAAAACCCATTTTTCTAGTAATGTGCTCTATATTTAAAACTTCAGTTTTAACCCATTCTTAGTAATTTTTTTTATGAGATCGTAACTTGGAGATAAAGGAAGGAAGTGCAAAGGTTGAGATTCCAAACCTAAATTTACTAGATGCTACCTATTACAAGTGACTACATGAACTAAGTGAAGCTTTGAATCCTACTCTTAGATTTTTAATAAAGTTAAAAAAAACTTATTTTGCATTTCTATCACTAAAATTGAAGATACCCCAAGGTTCACTTTCATGATAAATACAAATCTTGTGTCTTTAACCTTAATTACCAGTTGAGAGAATTTAATCCAACAATTAATGAAAACAAAAGAACATTTTTCTTTTTTTTTTTTAATTACACTAAAGTTCAAACTCAAAACCTTCAATTTAAAAGCAATTTTAGTACTATTGAAATAATATTTTTCTTTGGCAAATTAATTAACATATTAATTATCAAGTCAACACACGAAGACTATGTTAATCCTTGATTTCTCATAAAATCACTTTTTATTAGTACCATGTATACATATAATAGTAATAAGGAAATTTTTATAATAAATTTTTTAATATTTTCACCATTCTTAAGATATATTAAAAGCTTAACTTATATTCCCTCTACTTCAAATTGTTTGGGTGTTATTAACTTTCATGGAGTTTAAAAAAAAGAAAAAAAACTTTGATTTTATGTATTTAATATTAAATTTTAAATTTTTTATAAAATTAAAATTTTATAATTTTTAATGTTAAAATGTAAAAAATATATAAAAATAATAATTTCAAAATATAAAATGTAAGAGTTTTAAAAATATAAAAATATATATAATTTTAAGATATAAATAAATATGAACATAGAAATTAAGATGGAAGAAATAAAAGTTTTTCATAATAAATTATGAGATGCCGGTCTTAAAAGTTTTAAATTTCCAAATCCAAATAAAAGCCAAACGAAGCCTAAACATTAGATTTTTGAGCCCAAACGAAGCCAAAATCTAGATTTTCGAACCCAAACAAAGCTGAAAGTGTCATTTTCGAAACGGCGCCGTAACGACTTTTCCTTCCTTTCCCGGTTAAAAGGAAGAAAAGAATCCTCACTTGTATCTATCAATAAAACGACGCCAGGTAAGAGAGCTCAAATCAGCTTGCCATTGCGGATACAACAGACCCGCAAAACCGGCATCTTCGCGGTTTCTCTCTCTCATTTTCTCTCAAACCAAACAAAAGAAAGAAAAGCCAAATCTCTCTTAAAAACCGTCTTTTTTAAATTATACTCTATTCGACGACTCTCAATTTTGTCTGCAGCAATCAAGTCAAACTGCTCTCTCTTCGATATTACTTTGCTTCACGTCTCATTCATATACTGCTTATACACTGAAATCTGGTAAGTTACGTTATAATTTATTGATTTTTATTTGATTTTTTGCGTTTAAAATTATTGGTTTTTTATTTTTTGCTTCTGATTTTGAAAAAAGAGTAGGGATTGAATATCGGTGATGTTGGGCGCTTTAAGGAGAAAAGTCGCGAGCGGAGGCTCATCATCTTTGGTTAGAACTTTTTATTGTTTAAATTGTAATTTATTTAGCTAAAGCATAGGATTTTGTTATGTTTTTTCATTTTTTTTGTGATTTTTCAGATATTAGGGAAGTCATTGCTGGCGATTCGATCGGGTGTTTCAGTATCTAGAGTTTCTTGTAATGCTGGAAAAGAGGTAAATAATTCAGTTGAAAATGAATTAGATTTGGTAATCATGAACTTAGTTCAGTTTCTTTGAATTTCAATTGATCTTGATGCTATTAAATCTATAACTGATGTCGAAGATGGTTGATTTATTTAGGCCTTGCAATATTAAAATGTTGATATAAAGTAAAAGAAGCGCAAGATCATATGGTAAAATATTCTCTTTTTTTTTTTTTCAAAAATAATTCAAACTTAGTCCTTTGATTTAAAGTAAAAAATCGCACGTTTTATTGTCCATAAAATTTGAAATTTTAATCTTTAGTTAATTTAGAAATAATGTTACTTTTTTTTCATTTTAATCATTTTGAGTTTGAATTTTTGTCATCCATTGGTAAATATTCTCATGAGATTGAAATTTCAAGTGCTTGAACAGATACTATTACTTCAACCGAGAGGAATTGCCCATGTCCGAAACTTCTCTCATCTTGTTCTGCCAGGTATATCTTTTGGGTGGTTTTTCTTCTTTCGTTGGCATAATTTTGTTGATTTTCTTTATTATTAATGAAATATTAAATTATTATTATAGGCTGTTCAGCTGGTTTAACAGAGACAAGGTTAGTTGGTTCTGAGCTTTGTAATGCACATCACTGTTAGGAATTAAACTGTCACAGGGTATGAGTTGACTACTGGATTATTCTGACAATTGTATATCTAACTTTAATAGCAGGCCCATTTCAATGCATAGTCCATCTCTTATTTGTTTATCAGGAACTAGATTACTTAGGGTAACTAGTAAAGGAAATTCTCTTTCCATGATATATATATATATATATATAATTCTTTAAATCAGTTTGCTGCTCCTTAGCACTTCTTTACTTCTTTCCCCTGAAAGCTTTGCTTGTGGGCAGGATGTCATTTCTAGCATTCAGTCAGAGGCTATCATGCAAAAGTCGTGCAGGGCTTTCTCTTCTGGAGATGGTATGTTATTGAATAATTTCCTTAATGATATTTATTTGGCCTAAGGTTTATTAGCATTTTTTCTCTTTTTGGTCTTTTTTGAATGGTATTAACATAGGGATGTGTGTTTTTGGTTTTTGCTAGAATTTAGATCCTGTGCATTATAATTGTTCATTTGAATCACCACTTATCTGGGGTAGACCACTAACATCTAACAATTGTCAAACCCAATTTTCAGTTAGCAGTTGGGCCGCCCAAGAGGTACTACGTCAGGCAATATGTCAAAAGAAGAAAATAGTTTTAGTTCAAAATTTCTTTTAAAATCTTTCTCTGGAAAAGTGTGAATGCAATAGTTTCAAAACTTTGGCTGCAATTTAGTTGTATAATGATTTGGTGTAAACTTTGGTGGTACTAGACTTGCACCTCCGCCATTTTGGCATTTTTAGTGCATTTTTCACTTTCAAAAAGTACATACTGATTAGGAACAGGTCTGCTTGAAAATAAAGATGAATTCCCTTTTATGATGTAATTATGTTAAATTTAAAGATTTTGACTTTCCTATTTTACTTAACTTGTGATGAAGGGGATCTGGTTGATGCTGTGGTCCCTTTTATGGGAGAATCAATTACTGATGGCACTTTGGCAACATTCTTGAAAAGTATGTTTTCCGCTATTGTAATTTCCATTCATTCACTAGAAATATTCGTTTTCAGGGTTGTAAGTGTTTGATTGTGTATGTATCTGAAATTTGAGAGCAGAACCCGGTGATAGAGTAGCAGCTGACGAACCAATCGCTCAGATAGAAACAGATAAGGTACCATTCTTCTCCTTTTCCTCTATCAAGAAGATATTATACCCTTCATACCTGTGGTGTTTATTTCCATCAGGTAACAATTGATGTTGTCAGCCCCCAAGATGGTGTGATACAAGAGGTAATATATCAATAAATCTGGATCTTTGGGTCAAACATGCATGCACGCATGTATCTAGCTTGTTGGTCATTCCTAGACTCCTCCCTTCTCATTTCTGGGAGGAAGGGAAGTGGATTGGATCCTGAAATATTAATGTCATAATTCTTGCCAGTATATAGCCAAGGAAGGAGATACTGTGGAACCACGTACCAAGATTGCTGTCATTTCAAAGTCCACTGATGGTGTTGCACGTGCTGCCCCCTCTGAAAAGAAATCAGAAAAAGCTGCTTCCAAGCCATCTCCTCCAGCTGAAACTGTAAAGGAGGATAAGCCAAAAGCTAAAGTCGAAGTCTGTCCTGCTGGGGAGAAGCCTAAAGCTCCTTCTCCACCACCTCCAAAACGAACTGCTACTGAACCTATACTACCACCCAAGGAAAGGGAAAGAAGAGTAAGTCTTTTCATTTGCTGTTTGCATCCAAATGTTATCCAAAGGGTATGCTTAGAATTTTCTGATGCCTATTGTGAAAAATGATGTTAGCATCTTAGAAAATATCCTGAGTGTATGGCTTCATGATTACAGGTTCCTATGACAAGGCTTAGGAAACGGGTTGCTACACGATTGAAAGATTCTCAGAATACTTTTGCGATGTTGACAACATTCAATGAAGTTGACATGTGAGTTCAGTTATCTTCATATTTTAGTTCTTTGCATCAGGTGTTTGGCATCCTGCCGTCTGTGCTACTTCACTTTCTAAACATTTATATTTTGGTTTTTTTTAGGTTCAGATGATTCTTTGACTGTACCTAACTACTTGCTTCCCTTTTCTGATACAAGTTTTCTGTGAAATTAACCAGATCATTTTACTTTATGAAGGCTATGCTGATTTGTTTCCTTTTCTTTTTGATTTGCTTCTCATTGCAGGACTAATTTGATGAAGCTCCGCTCTGATTTCAAGGATGCTTTTGTTGAGAGACATGGTGTCAAGTTGGGATTTATGTCAGGATTTGTTGAAGTATGCAAAATTTGTTCTTGAAATGGTCACATATGCACTCATGGCCTGTCTTCACTAACTTTGCTTTCTCTTTTTTCCCTTATCATTTCTTCTATTTTATTTGTTTCAGGCTGCTGTTAGTGCACTTCAGCATCAGCCTATAGTAAATGCTGTAATTGACGGGGATGATATTATTTATAGAGATTATATTGATATCAGCATTGCTGTTGGTACTCCGAAGGTAATCTTTTTTGTGATTGATTTGCCAATTGATGGGGATGATATTATTTATAGAGATTATATTGATATCAGCATTGCTGTTGGTACTCCGAAGGTAATCTTTTTTGTGATTGATTTGCCAAATTGCAATTTATCCATTTAATGGCTTGCTGACACTTGGATTGTTAGTGTTTCTCTCAGCATTCTTTCTTGGCTTGTTTTGAAAGAAATTTAAACATCATGTAAAAATGTATTGAATTTAAGAATTACCTATGAACTTAGAGCAGTTTCTAAAGTTGAAATGAGTAATCAATAGGTTCAAAACTGTGTCCTTTGACAATTAAACATTATAGATTTTTTGAAGGGTTTTTTTTTTTTACTTGTTTTCTTTATTTGCTGAGCTGAAGTTGCTTTATTTTATTTCATGACAAATGAGAAAATGAGGTATCTAGAAGATTATATCAAGTCTTTTCTCATTTTGGTTTGTTGCTAATCTTCAAAGTTTCCCCACCAATCAAATAGGCCTCTATTGATAAATATATGCATAGATCACCTCACCCTTCATGGGCACTGAAAGTTAAGAAAAAGAAAAAGAAGAATGTGATTCATGTTTCTATGTTAAGCTTTTTGTTTCTTTATCTTTCCTGTCAGGGGCTTGTCGTTCCAGTTATTCGAGATGCTGATAAGATGAATTTTGCTGAGATAGAGAAGACAATCAACAGCCTCGCAAAGAAGGCAAATGATGGGACCATATCAATTGATGAAATGGCTGGAGGCTAGTTTACAATATCCAATGGTGGTGTTTATGGAAGTTTGTTGAGTACCCCAATTATCAACCCTCCTCAGGTTAGTGGTCACAAACTGAATAATTGTGCATGCTTGTTTATGTATGAGGGTTCCATACACTTGTGACATCCATATTAATAGAGATGTTTGCGCTCGCTCTACTGTGTTTCTAATCTTCAGCTTTTGTTTGAGACCAGAAAGAGAATCTCACGTGATTAAACAATTTTTTGGCAGTCGGCTATCTTGGGTATGCACTCAATAGTGTCCCGACCAATGGTTGTCGGAGGTAACATAGTCCCAAGACCAATGATGTACATTGCCCTTACTTATGACCATAGGCTGATTGATGGAAGAGAGGCTGTCTTCTTCTTGCATCGAATCAAAGATGTTGTGGAAGACCCTCGCAGGCTGCTACTTGATGTATGAAGGCCTAGTAGCAACTGCTGTGATATTTTCATGGTTTGCTGGTACGCTTAGCATTGGATATATACTTCCTATTTAAATGAGCAAGAATAAGTTCCTGAAGTTTTGTAGGGTTTCATTTGTTGATTCACCCTTTAACGAGTTCTGAAATTACAGCTGGCCATTGTTGAACAAGAATAAATACATATTTCCAGTTTCTGTTGTGCAAATACGGTTTTTACTTTTATTTTACACTAAGTTCTTTAAATTCTGGTTTAAAGGGTACACATTTTTATGACACTTTGAATGTGAAAATCAGACATGGACAGGTTGGTTTCTTCTTAGATTCATTCAGTCTCTAACATGAAAATTCTGTTTCCTGGTTGTGGGTGCTTATTCTCTCCTAAATTCTTCATTTGGGGATTATATAACACTGCTTGAATTTGATCAAGCTTCATTTTTCATGCTTGAATTTGATTCATAATTTAATTGAATCATTTGAATTCAATTTAGTATGCTCTATTTAATTCGGTAAAATTATAAATATTGATATTAAATTATTCAAACTCGATTTCATTTGTTATTTGAGTTTTTTTTAATCGAGTTAGAATAATTCATAAGTAGGTTGACTGGTTAAGACTTTATTTGTAATAGTATTTGTATTGATGTTTTACAATTTTTTTTTCCCACAATTTGTCAAGAGAAGGCTGGTTCCCTTGTGATGCAGTTGATCGGTACCGTATTCTTATGCTGCTCGGATCTGAGTTCTAGCTTCACAGTTCACACATGGCATGGATGCCATTGGGGTAATTCAAAGTTTCTTAGTTGATTAAAATATATGTAGAAGTTTTATATTGACTCATGAGAGTGAAAACTCGTTTCTAATCATCACCGCCCTCGCCTGGCCGGCGCGGTGACTGCCGTCTAGGCATAGACAGCAACGAGTTAAATTTGTAATAATATCGAATGAAAGAACCCGGGGCTTAGGGGAGAGCAAACATTCGTTTGTAAAATTTAGTTGTAAAAAATGAATAACTGACTTAATCAATTTAATTTATATAAAAATCGAATCAATTTAATTAATTTAGTCGAATTAAGGTAAATGGATATTTTATTAAATTTTAATTATAAAAATTAGTTTTTTTTTATTGATTCGATTTATAAAATTTAAAATAAAAAATGAACCGATTAAATCATTTAAATTGAAAAAACCAAATAATCCAATAAAAAAATATCACGATTTAATTGGATTATCAATTTTAAATTGGTTTAATTGATTTAAACCGAATAATGCTCGCCTAGATTCAAAGATTGTTGCACTGACAAAGACAACACATGTTGCTCGAGGAATGAAGACTGAAGAATATTATTGGTATGGTTGGTCATATTTCATCGTCGTTATGTAGTGAATGCGCGTCGACTTTCCTCCTTTCAGTCTTAAACTGAGTAATTCTGGTCTCCTTGAAGCGTAGAACTCTGGGCTTCAAAGGGTGAAAAAGGTTAGGAATTGGGGTTCACATTTACCTGTTTTGTTTCGTGACCATCCGAAAATTGAAAAAGAACGGGAAATTTGCTTGCTCTATGGAAAAAGAAATCAAGATTTACCCGTGGATGTCATAAATCAAACTTTATTGTTTTCGTCAATAATTTAAATCATGATATAATAATATGATATAAAAATAATAAAAAAAATATATAAAAATGATATGATTTAAAATTTTAATAAAAATTATAAATAAATTTAATAAAATCAAAAAAATATATTTCGTATTTTTTTATTATCCTAAATTATAATATGTAATTTTTTATATAAAATATAATATAAATTATTAAATTATTAAATTTTATATGAAATAAATATATGAATTATCAATTAAAAAAAATAAAGAAAGTAACAGTCTGGATAGAACAAAAAATTAAACACCATAAATCTAATATTTTTAACTCTTTCCAATAACTCTTCGAATAAAAAATGGTCGTAGACGGTGAAATTTTTACAATTAAATTTAATTTTCTGAGGATATCTGTATAAATAAACTTAAACTTGGGATTGATTATTCTAATACTTAATTCTTAACGTGATGATCTCTTCAAGTTCCTACTTCCTCTGTACTTTTTATAATGTTAAAGTATTGGGATCGCATTGATTCACACCTTTCTTTAGCAATGAAAATGTAAAAGTAAAATGTCAAGTGAAAATACCCATCAAGAAGCAAATAATGTCAAGTGAACCAATCAAGTGAAGTCTTTAACCCGCTCTACACTTCCATAACCGTAAAGGAAAGTCAAATTCAATTACGTTGAAAATGAAACCATGGACAAGTTCTGTAGAAAATCCTCCAATTATTCTGGCATAAATACATCAGATTCTCACTCGTATTACTGCAAAAAGCCTTTGAATCCCAAGCAAAGTGATCATGGCTATTCTTCAAGCTTTTTCACCAATTTTCTCTTGTAGTTCTTCCTCAAGTTCCTTTGGAAAAACCAAAGCCAATCTTTATAACCCAAATATTTCAGTTTCCAAATTCCTGAATGATGAGTTTAACAGAAGAAAAGGGTTGAAAACCTTGAAAACAACCAATCCCCTGATAGAAATTAAGCCTGAACTTGGAAATAACAGCGTAAACAAGGCAGAAATCTCTAATTCAATGGTGTTGCAAGAGATGTATGCTATTATGGATATTGTAGCAGAAATAGTTGAAATGCGCAAGAACATTGGACTATTGGAGCACAGCGTGATAACTGGAACTGGCTTCTGTTGAATTCTGTCAATGAAATGACAGTCACAGTGGCGACAATGGCTGGAATTGCAGCTGTCGTTGGAGGTGGAGCATCATTTTTGGTTCTGAAACTATCTTCCAGTTTGCTTTACATTGCATCAACCGGGGTTTTGCTGGTTATGAATAAGATACAGCCGTGTCAGTTGGCTGAAGAACAAAGAAATGCTTCAAGATTGTTTAAGCAGCTTCATGAGGAGATAAATACAATCATTGCTCTTGGAAACCCAGATTCAGATGATGTGAAAGACGCAATGGAGAAAGTCTTGGCATTAGACGAAGCTTATCCACTTCCCTTGTTTGGAACCATGCTTGGTAAGTTTCCTTCACTGGTAAAACCAGCTATGTGGTGGCCAGAAGCCAAGACTCAACACGAAAAGCTCAACAGGAAAGTGTTATAAAAAATAAATAAGAGAAAAGAAATAATATAAAAAAATTTTAGCTTTGAAACGAGTAAAATATTTTTTTAAAGGTAATTGTATTTTTAAGATACAATAAAACTTTAAAGCCTCAAATACTATAATTAGAAGTAGTAAAAATAATTATATTGAAATATTTATTTATAATGAATAAATAAATATAAATTTTTATTCATATAATTATGAGCTTCTGTATAATTAAAACTTATATGAATAATATTTTATTTATATTTAAATAATTATGATAATTTATCATATGATAATTATTTTTATTCAAACATAATTATTTAAAATATAAATAAAATTAATATAAAAATTAATTTTATTCTTCAATAATTAAATTTTTTTTATCTAACGTGATATGCATCACATTCGAAACTACAAACAAATGGGTGGGATGAAAATCTTAAAGAAGAAATGAAAGAAATTGTTATGGTTTTGAAGAGAAAAGACACTAAAAAATATATCAGACTAAGCAAAGTAGTGTTGAAAATCAATAAAATTCTCGCTATTTGTGGCCCCTTGTTCACCGGCATGGCTGCAGTTTGTTCTGCCTTGATGGGATCATCTTTCTGTGGCTTATTTGCTGTGATTTTTAGTGTGGTTTTTGGAACTATGGCAATTGTTGTTAAAAGTTTTGAGCATGGTGGGCAGATTGGTACGGGGTTTGAAATGTATAGGAGCTCTGCTGGATTCTTCAGGCTTAAGGGGGAGACTAATAGAATTAACCTTGGAGGAAGGAGAAGCTGATGACAGGGAAAATGGAGAATTGTTTGAAGTGAAAGCAGCTCTTCAGCTTGGAAGAAGTTTGTCAGAGCTCAGAGACCTTGCAGATGATGCATCCCATCCTCATTCTTCAACACAAGAAGAGGATGAAGAAGAGTTTGCAAGCAAACTCTTTTGATTCTTATTTGAATCAATTTTATCTTCGATGGATTTTGTATTGTTAGAAATTGGATGACATGAATCTCTGGTCAACCAGTTCATTTCATGTAATGATATTAACAACAGTATTATCCGATTTGATCTGAAATTCTCATGATTTATTAATTTCCTTAAGATAATAAATAAAAACAAAGAAAAAAAATCACAAAATAACCTATCTAGTTCAATATTTATTGTTCCATTGACCTCAAGTAACCATTGTCTGCCTCTCTTTACCACCATTTCTGGATTGTTTGGACTAATGAGCTTTGTGGATTTGTTACCAGCCCAACTGTTCCTATCTAGAAGGGAAAGGATTGGGGAGATATGGGCCATGCCCAAATGTAACCATAGTTGGTTAAGTTTCACCCCAAATAGATCATTCATGAGGCTTCTAATACTTTCTCTTTTTTGTAAAGAACTTATGCTTCAGCCCAAAATGGAGTTTAAACATTTTCAAACCAATTAGCTTTATGGATTTCCTAATTCCTAGGTTTTCTTTTGAGTAAACATGATAATAATTCACATTTTTATGTAAAATACATATAATTTATATATTCTTATTATGTGTTATATAAAAATTATGTATCATAAGTAATATCAGCATAAAAAAAGGTAATATTTTATATAAAATTATGTATCATAAGTAATATTAATATAAAAAAACATAAAATATATTTTTTAGTTTTTGTTAAACTTATATATGAATTTTATTAAAATTTTAGGTCATGTTATTTTAGTGTTTTTTTTTTTTGGTGTTATTTTCATATTATATGATTATATTGTGTTTTAAATTACTATGTCTATTTTCGAACTTAAGACAAGGAAAAGATAAGGAGAGATGGATTATGATGCCCAAGCCCAGTTTTAGCCCAAGTTATCTCACAACGAACTCATTTGCTATTCATCAACCTGATAAATCGTTTACTTAAATTCACTATATTTTGACATGGGAATGTAGGAAAATAAAAAAATAGAGAAAGCACTTTTGCTGCTTCAAAACTGAGCCTGCAAGTTATTCTGTTTCTCCTTGTTAATACATGTTGTGTCCATTCCTGTTAGTGAAGATATATTCTATTCTTCCGATAGAAATGTAAAGTGTAATTCCTTAATTGAACCAAAACTGAAGTTTTGAAGCAGATACCAAAATTTTAAACATGTTGTTAACATTTTCTATTGTAGACTTGGGTTTTGACTCCATTTTAACCCCATAAATTGTATTATAATTTTCTCAGAAACCATTGCAGTAGTTTTTTGAATACTTGATTGAGATGATTCATCTCTTGATTGCTCTGTTTCTGCTGAAATGGCTCTTGTTCTGGTGCTTCTGTTCAGGTCTCCTCTAAGAAACCTGGTGACCAAGGTATTGGACAAGATGAAGGAAGGGAGAGGCCCTGTGATTGCAAAGACTGTTGCAGGAACTTTGTTTGTTGTTTTTATCTCTATCTCATACAATATTATTGAGATCCAGAAACGTTCATTGGAAGGTGGTGTTCTCAATCCAACCGATGAGGTTCTAATGGCAAATCAAATTTTGGAAGCATCTCTAATGGGTAACTTACCATCATTAACTTCATTTGAAGTTCCTAAGGTGTATGAGTTTTAAGGTTTAACTATATATACTAGCAATTCCTATTTCTGTGTCTATTTATTTCATGTTAAATATGTATAAAATATAAAAATTATTGTATTACAATTCATATTGTGTCAAACACAAAATCTGATTTAAAATTACACTATCTAACACAAATTTAAAATGTTAGCTAGCAATCGGGATTAAATTTCAATTAGGACTAAAATCCTGGATTAGTTTAACAGAAACCAAAAATGTATTTTATATTTTACGTTAATACGAATTATTACACGTAATTTTTATATAAAACACAATATGAATACAAAAATTATCAGATCTAATATCAAATTATCAGCTCAATGGTGTATGTTTTGAAATAGTTCCAATTACCTTTTAAAAGAAGTCTTCTAACATTCATATTAAAGGATTATATTTCAGGGTTTGCTCTATTCCTTGCACTGGTTACGTATAGATTACACTACTATATCAAAGAGCTTCCAAAAACAAAGAGATTGGAGGCAGCTGAAGAAATGAAATTAAAGCCTGATGTAAAGCATCATGATCTGAAAGAACATCCAAAGAGGGCAACAGCTTCAAGATGAAAAATTGATGTTAGAACTTAGAAGTAAACAGAATCATAAACATACCTCAGACAGGGTCATATGTTGTAATAAGATAAAAAATGAGAAGAATGAACTTCTGCAAATCTGCAATTTGATACATGGCGTTGGCTTAAGTTTTCAATATCTGTCCTTCACTGCCTTAACATCATCTAATTGCTCAAATTAAATGGCTATACACAGTTTTTCTGTTGTCGAATTATCCTGCTAACTTTTGCCAACCAAACATTTCTTGAATCAAAAAAATTTTTTTTTTTCTTTGATTCATGAGAGAATAAACCAGACCAGACCTTTCTCAGAATTTGAATGAATTTTAACCTGAAACTGGAAAAATGGCACGAACTGGACCCAAACCAGAAGGCTACTATTGGATATATACAATTAATCAATTCATGAATAGTACTGGAAGAATGATTAACCTGCAGTTGATGGTTTTCAAAAGATGAGAATCTTCAATTTTCATAGCCTCGATTATAAATTACCAGGCTTTTTTATGGACATAAAAGTTCAAGGTAAGAGGAGGCTTCCCATTTCAAGGTCAGGATAAACCGCAGAGAGAACTTGAATTAGATTTACAGATTTTCCATAAAGAAAAATTACTGGCAACGGGATTTGAATCTAGGCTCTATAAACAAAATATTCCAACTTTACCAACTCAACCAACCCCGTTTGACAATTGCCAAACTTTTTCATAGTTTCATTGCTCATATAATTATCTAACAAAATTTTTCTTTTCTGAATGTGAAAGGCTAATACTTGGTCTTAAACAAGTATTCGCCTACCAATGATAGAAATGATGACATTGTAAAACGCTAATGCTGCTGAGTCTTCATTTCTCATCAGTTGACTCAAACAAAGTTGGCAAACTGAAACATGTTGGTTTTCTCCAACTTGTTGCACATCAGAGAAGACTTGACTTTGTTAAAAGTCATTGCCTGATAGATTGAAAAATGGAGTCAACCCCTCTTCCAGTCTCTCTCAAGCACCAATCCTTCATTATCATCAGCCAAGTTGATCCCGGCCGGTCATGTCTGCCTGCGAAGGAATTTTGGAGAAATCAAATATGGAAGATGGATTGGAATAGAACAGAAATTTCATTGAATACTGTCTCAAAATTGAGATTTGTCTGATACAAAAAATCATCTGTTACACTATCAAATGCCAAAATACTGCTAAAATCAATAATATTTTCTATAGAATTTTCTAACAAAAAATCCCCACCTAAGATTGAGCTTTCAATTTCAAGTTCTTCTTCAAAGGATCCAGGAATGATGGAGTTGCAAATGCAAAATCATCTTCTACCATGTCATTGCCACTGCTTCTAACTGTTATCCAATCTTCACTCCACGTCCAACAAGAAGCATTGGAAGACGGTGACAGAGTGCCTTGAAGCAATTTCTTGATGGTGTCAGTCGGAGACTTCAAGGAAATCTCTTGAGCAATCGAGTTCTCAGGACTTTCCACCACATCCAGTGAATCTCAGAAACCATGATCTAGCACAGAACTTGGAGAATTGATGGTAGATTCCTTTACTTCCTTTAAAAGTGTATCCAGTTCTTCTAGAAATGGATGTTGAAGCAATTCTTTAGCTGTCCATCTGTCTTTTGAATCCCTTTTCAAACACTTTCTCAGAAAATCCTTGGCTTTCTCAGATAACCACTTTGGAATCTCAGGTATTTCACCCGAAAATCCAATCTTATAAAGAGCTGAAACCAGATCATTCAGCTCTGGCCATGGGGAATTCCCAGTGCTTATCTCTATAATTGTGCATCCAAGAGCCCATATATCAGCTTCAAAACCCTGATCCTCACGTGCCATGAAAGACGGTGTACCGGAAAATGCTGACGTGTCAAAACCTCCATTAGAACCAACTTTTCCCATCAATTTAGCACAACCAAGATCACCAATCTTTGCACCTTTCTTTACCTATCAAAATATTTTGGCTCTTGATGTCACAATGTACCACCCCATTATCATGAAGATAATTCAAACCTTGTAAAATCTGCTGACTGCACAATCTAACTTTCTCTTCATCCAATCTCCCTCCTACCCTTTGAATTTCCTCGAAAAGCGTGCCACCGGGGACATACTCCATGCAAAGATTGTACATAGGCTTGTTATTTGTTCCATTTGTAACATTATAGCCTATGTATTTAGCAATACGAGGACAACTTAATTTGGACAAGAAATAATGCTCTCTTTGTAAGAACATTGAGTGACATAACTCAGTGGACTTAACGGCCAAAAGCTCACCAGAAGGGTTTGCGGTGGCGAGCGATACGGTAGCTGTGGCGCCACGGCCTATGGCAGGTCCTCTAATCCACCTCATTAGAGGAACACAAGAAACAAGAAAAACAAAAAAAAAAAATTTGTTGGGTTTAATATTGATGCCATGGCATATAAGATAACGTATATTATATATAAACTTTGGGGGTACCTTTGATTTTGGTGACTTAATCCAAAGCATATGCAACAACTTAGGAAGATTCTTACAGACAAAAATCTCTTTCTTACTTTGTTAGACTTGGTTTTTGAGTTCATACAGCAAGAATGTGCCACGTGGTAAGATGTCATTGCCTTGTTTGACAGCTCTGTCCTCCAATGGTCGGCGGTTGCTTTAGCTTGTAATAAAGCCATTCACATGACGATACATTAGCACGTGCCGAGATTGCTGTGTTAATGACATATTATTGGTTAATTAATCCTTAATTAAGGTTGTGATTTTGCGGCGCAAAGGTGATTAATCAACACTTGACAGTGTGAACCGAGCTGGTTTTGTATTTTTGTTTTATCTTAGTTTTCAAGCTGTCAATACAAGGAAGAAATATTTAAGTTTAATTCAATTGATTTATTCAATCATTTCAAAAACGATAATTCGATTTAATCTAAAATTAATGTAATTTGAAAATGTATGCAATTTTATCATATTTTGTAAAAAAAAAAACATCTTTTTGGTAATTTAGACATATTGGAGTAATCTTAATGTTGTGCAAACTGTGAACTCCTTTTGTACGTCATTAAAACGTGTAATCCTTTAGGTATAGGTAAGGAGAAATTGAATCCACACCCATTCTTTGCAATGTGAAATCAACAAAAGCTTTTGCCGTAAAGAACATGTTTGCTCCAATGGCCATGAAACTGCAGAGTTGGCCTATTGATTGGAGGAATCAAAGAAAAGTAAACAAGCCAACAAAAGGGGCTGCAACCTATATGAAAAAAATTAGAAGTTAAAAAGAGTCATCATTTTTTTTTTTTTACAAAAAAAGTCATAGTTTAGGAATAAGAATAGAGATTATAAATATTAGTATTTGAATTCTTAAATTACTGGATGTCATCGGGTAATTACATGAAGCAATTGAGTTTCGAACTCAGAGTGACAACTATTTTTCCTAGTCTGGACTGGAAAGTGAGCTTGAGTGAGAGGTTGATGACCGATTTTTAGGATTTGGATGAAACATTTGAGTGAAGATCAAGCAATTCCATACTGTGAAAGGCAATTTTTTCTTGAAATCCCATTTCTAATTTCAACCCAAATTCCCTTCTAAGTTCCAACCTTTGCCTTTTTTTGATTGAGAATAGTGGGAGAGTCTCTTATTGTTTAGACTCTCTCAGCTTGTCAGTGCCAACATTCTTTACTGACAGTTGCTAGAACTTTAAACCTCACCCTTTACAGCTAGGTTCACCAGGTGAAATATGATTTCAAGACCCATTTACTTTGATCCGAATTTGGAAAAGGCCAAAAATCCCACCTCCAATCTTCCATTTTCAGCCACTTTCTTATTTCTTAACCTTAATTTTAATTTTTTTATCTAAGATATTTGACTGTCTTTAGTGTAAAATTAAAACAAAAGATATTTTTCAATTATAACAATCTATTATTTTTTGTTGGGCATTTAACTGCCTAGTTTTTAAATATTATAATTGATTATCTTTAATCTGACAATCGATTATCATATTTAATTTCATCGTCAACATTATATTTATAATAAAAACATATTTTCATCATTAATTTTAATTTTATTAATATTCATTCTAACTACTATAATAACTAATTTTATGATCACTATTATTTTTAATTTCACTAGAATAAATTTCATTTATTATTTGAATGGATCTTACTGATTAGAAAAATTGCTTTTCCATTGAATATGGTTCATTACAATTTTCATCTACCTGTGCCAGCCTAAACTGAAGCAAAACTTCAAGACAACTGACCCTTCCATTAATAATCAAACAGCTCTCACTAATCAATATGTTATCCACAACTTTCAGATAAATTATTTGTGTTTAATTGTCACCTACTTTTCCAGTTATTCTTCTGCTTTCAACTCGCTGGCTGTATTAATTCCATTCCATGCTCACGACTGACAAATCAAGATAACAGCTTGACGTCCAAAACCTTATCTAACATTTTGCTAATGATTGTTCCAATCAATGTAATCATTGTTTTTTTTATTGAACATTATATATTCTTTTCTACCCAATTATTTGAATAACTTTCATTGTTTATTTGATTTAATTCATTGATTTTTTAACCCTCCTAAGCCACCATCCAATCTCGGTCGACATGAAATAGGTTTTTCTCATCCTCAAAACCCACCTGTAATCTAAAATAAATTTTATATTATTAAATCTATTTACTAAATACACATATATAAAAATATATATAATATGGATATGGATACATGATAGATATTATATTATTCTTTTTCATTTTTATATCCAATAAAAGATCAAAACTATACTTATATTATCATTCCAAAATTTATTACCTATTTTTATCTTCATTCGAGTAAAAAATCAAATCTTCTATCGAATTTGTATAAAATTGACCTCTCCAAAAAAAAAAAAAAAAGAAACATTTTAGCGCAAAAAGTTGGCCATTGCTTGATGAGCCTGAATGGGGCAATTTTTTAGTTTTTTTTTTTATTTTGTATTTTGAGCACATAATTTTTTATAAATATATAATAATATATTTTTAAATAGAAATATATTAATTTTAATGAATTTAAAATAAATTTATATTATTAACAAAAACTTATTTACTAAATATATATATATATATATATAAAGTATGAGAATAGGTACAGAACAAATGCTATATTATTCGTCTCTATTTTTGTATCCAATAAAAATTTAAAATCATATCTATCTCATCCTCATCTCAAAATTTAATATCCATATTCATTCTCATTCAAGTAAAAAAATCAAATTTCTAATTAGATTTGGATAAAATTGACATCTTTAAAAAAACAAAACATCAATACTTTATGTGCAAAAAGTTGGGCATATGCCTTTGAATTGGGGCAAGATTTTGAACTTTGAGATATTGAATCCAAGTTATGTATAAGCTGACCTAAACCCAGCAAGTGTTTCTTTTCATTCTGTTTAGGCCACGAGAAATTTTTTAACAAAATATAATGTTCCCATGA